TGCTGGGCAGCCTGAGTCTCCGCTCCTTCACCTGTCAGATGGGTATGACAGCCCCTTATCTACAGGCCTCCAGCCAAACGGAGTGAGGGAGCAGGGCAAAGAGCCACAGAACCACACCGAGGCGATGGAGGCTTCCCCAGCTCCGAGCCACCCGTGGGGAAATCTCCCCACATTGAACTTCAGTGTCTTCCTCACCCCTGAGCTGGTGAGAACTGGGGGTCAGAGCAAAGATGGGCATTTCCCACCTTCCCTCCACAGGGCTCAGCTAGGACCTCACACCACTTCCTCACTATGGAACAGGGGTCCCTATTATCCGTGACCCCATTCCGGGCCTGCTTTATGCTGTGGAAGAAGAAAGGACCCTGCCCCTGGTAGAAGGTCCAACCCCACTCTGCTGTGGGGCACATTCAGGGGTCCCCACCTCAGCAAGTGGCATCCCCCCCTTTGCCTCGCTGTCTGGGCCCAAACTCCAGAACTCATCCTTGGTATCTCTTTTGTCCTCCCCTCCCCCCACCAGCAAGACCTCTGGTTCTCGGGACCCTCCCGTACCCCATGTCCACCACCACCACACCTGACTAGGTCACTTGTCTCCCAGACGTTGGCAGGCGTCTCCTAACTGGCCTCCCAGCCTCCTCCTGCAGTTCATTCTCAAGTGCCCTGGACACCGGGTTTCTCCACCTCGCTGTGGGCATTGCCTGCTGCCCGACTCCTAGCGGTGGGGCCGCCCTGTGCCTGGCAGGGTGTCTGGCAGCCCCCCCACCCCGGCCTCCACCTCTCATCTTCCCAGAGGCGGCAACCCAAATTGTTTCCTGACACCCTCGCATCCCCGGGGAGGGCAGTGCAGTGTGCCATCACCCCCAGTTCAGAACCACTCGCTTAGAGACACCTTTTGGAAATGCAAAGTAGATCCTGTCTTTCTCCTCTGCAAAGCCTTCCCGGGATTCCTGGTACTCAGAGACCAGAACGCCCAGCACGCTCCTTGCCGAGGCCTGCAGGCTGCCCCTGCTCTGCCCGCGGTGGCTCCTCTGTCCTTCCTCCACTGCGATTCCTCCAACGGGCAAACTCCATGCCACTGCAGGTTGCTGCGTGATCGGTGCAGACTGCCCCAGGCTCTCCCCGCAGCGCTGGGGACAGCTGAGTCCTGCCCCGTCACCTTCCCTGACCATGGTACTCCCCACACATCACCCTGTTTTCCTGTCTTCACAACTCTCATCAATTTGTCTTTGTATTTAGCAACTTTTTTATTGTCTGTTTTCTCCTCTAAAATCTGAGCTCCAGCCCTGGCCAGGTGGCTCAGTTGGACAGAGCATCCTACTGTGCGCCAAAAGGTTGCAGGTTTGATCTCGTGTTGGGTGTGGGTGGGAGGCAACTTGTCCACCCCTCTCTCTACCCCCACTTCCTTTCTCTCTCAATCAACAAATGTATCCTCAAGCGAAGTTTTTTTTTTTTTTTAAGATTTAAACAAATCTGAGCCCCACTAAGGCCATTTTGCTCATGGCTAGACCCCTGGAGCCTGACAGATAGTAGGTGCTTGTGGTACATTTGTGCCTCCAAAGCCTCCAACTTGCCCATTGCTCCCTGTGTCCACACTCTGGGCAGTTTCCTCCCTCACCGATGCCGACTTTGGCCGGGTGGCTTATTGTGGCCAATGATGGCCCGAGAGCAGCAGGGTTGCCAGTAGAGATCTACTGAGTGCTTGTGAACTGAGGTGTCCATCTGTTGCCTGGCAACCACCTGTGAGAATAAGCCTTGGACGGGGCTGCTGGGAACAAGGAGCCTGCAGCCAGCACCCACAAACCAGCCGGGCATGCGTGTAAAGTCATCTGATCAACCAGCTGTCCCCTGAGGCCACTACGTTTTGGGGGTGACTTGTTATGCAGCAAAAGCTGACTGTCACAAGGCTCCATAAAAATGTGTTGAATAAATGAGTGAAGTGATGAGCGTGGGTTGTGAGTTTGGTCCCCAATCGGGTTGCTTACAGGACACAGCCAATTTATATTTCGCACATCGATATTTCCCTCTCCCCCTCCCTTCCCCTCTCTCTAAAAAAATAAATAAAAGTTGATAGGTCGGGTATGTGAATAATAGGTGAACATCCTCAGTACCAGCCCTCACATTTTCCTCAGGACCACGGACCACGGAGTCTGGCTCCTCCCTCGGATCCGAACTCGCCCAGCTCCAGCCTCAGCACAAAGCAATGCCTGGTGAATGGATGAAGGAGTAAAATGAATACCGGAGAAAAGCCCTCTGCGCGCAGCAGAAGGGCTGTGGGCAGGGCCGTGGGGGGGGCCTGTGTCGTTGCTCAGATGCCCCGCTAGGGGTAGGGAAAGCGGCCTGGTCCCGGTGTGCAGGCGCTGGGCTGTGTCTGCAGGGAGGGCGGTGCAGGACACGTGTGATCAGAGTCTGCCCCGGGTCCCTCTGGCTGTGGGAGAGCCTGCGCCCCCTCGTGGACGACTTAGGCAAAATCCTCGCTTCGGAGCCTTTGAAACTGGGTTACAGAAAAGGCAAAGAGGAATGAGCACGCTGCGTTTTTCCCCACTGACTTTACATTGGCCATATTTGACACTTGTCCCCCTCCACCGCGAGCACCAGATGAGACAGACAGACGCTACCGTGGGTCCGACATGTCCCTTTCCAGAAAGGGACAGAGAAGCTTCAAGTGTGTGGGGTGGAGGTCAGAAAGCGTGGGGTCCCACAAGCTGGGGTAGGTGTGTGGGAGGGCTCCTGGGAGGCAGAGCCCGAACGCTACACCTCCGTCCCCCAACTCAGCCTTCCCAGGACTCAGTTTCCCCAGGGAGAGCCGCCGGACCAGAAGTGGCTGTAGGATCTTAGACAAGAATTCACTGGTGCATGATTGTGAACACAGGGAGATGGTGACCTGTCTGTGGGGGAAGAGCGTTCCAGACAGAAGGGACAGTCGGTGCAAATGTCCTGAGGCAGGCACGTGATTGCTGGGCAGCCACTGTGAGGACTTTGACTTTTACCGCTGAAGTGGGAAGGAGAGAGAGGGTGAGAGAGAAACATCCATCAGTTGCCTCCAGCACACACCTGTCCCAGGGAATGAACCCACAGCCTAGATAGGTGCCCTGACTGGGAATCGAACCTGCAAACTTTTGGTGTATGGGAGGACACTCCAACCAACTCAGCCCCCCGTCCAGGGCTGAATGGTGGTTTTTTTTGGGGGGGGGCGGAGTTAAAGTGTTTTATTTTATTTATTTTTAGAGAGAGAGGAAGCGGAGGGAGAAAGAGGGAAAGATACATCAATGTGTGGTTGCCTCTTGCGCCCCCTACTGGGGACCTGGCCTGCAAGCCAGGTGTGTGCCCTGACTGGGAGTCAAGCTGGTGGCCCTTTGGTTTGCAGGCCGGCACTCAATCCACTGAGCCACACCAGCCAGGGCTGAATGGTGTTCATTATGATTTAATGGGGTCTTTCTGGCTGTTGTGTGAAAAACAGACCTTCAAGTGTGTAGTGGCTGCAATACCGTCAGTGACATGGCGGTCCTGGCACATGACAGAGCCCAAGGGAATGGCTACAGCTCACGTGATTTTTATTAGCGTCGTGATTATTTTCTATATCCCACAAATTTTACTGTCCGAGCTCCTCAGCGCCCCCGGGATGGTCTCCACGTGCATCCCCCACCTCCATTCCTAGCTCACCCACCTACAGTCCATTCTCCACCTGCTCCCCCGAGCTCATTCTTGTCTCGGGCCTTCGCAGCTGCTGTTCCTTTAACACTAATTAAAGGCTCTGGTCCCTGCTGCAGAGCAGCTACAGGGGTGGGGCGTGTATGACCAGAATCTGCCTCCGGGCCCCCACTTTGCCGCGTGGCAAAGGTGAGCAAAGCGGCATTGACAGCCGCCCCCCAGCCTTGTGGAAGAAAGAGAGGTCACCCCGAAAACGCAGGCGCTGGGGGGTCCATGGAGAGGAAAGGCCCTGGGAAGGAACCTGCTATAAATTAAGCCAATTTCAGCCCGAACTTCAGCACAACGTGAGTGAATAATTAATCTCTTTACTTAAACCAGGAGAGTCAAACTCATTTTCACCAGGGGCCACATCAGCCTCGTGGTTGCTTTCCAAGGGCTGAATGTAATTTCGACTTAACAGTCAGGACTGTATAAATGTAACTACTCCTTAATTGTTAAGAAGTTGGAATTACATTCAGCCCTCGGAAAGCAACCACGAGGCTGATGTGGCCCCTGATGAAAATGAGTTTGACACTCCTGGTTTAAGTAAAGAGATGATTTGAACCGAGCTTCTCTATTTACAACCAATCAAATCCTAAGGACTGTAACAGTTGAGAGGAATATTCCTCAGATGTGGCTCCTTGGATGCAATCAGCCCGAGAGAGAGGACTGAAGGGACAGGACCCGGTACTTCTCCCACATCCCACCAGCAAACTCAGGAGAGGCCACCAGAAGTCCTGTTAAAACAACATGGCAGAGTCTGCACACACAGAGGAATTCTGAAAATCAGGGCGGCAATATCAACCTCTATCAGACAAGTTCAGGTCTAAGGCAAAGGATTAAGTTGCTGGAAGACAACCATTTTCTGTCTGACAGACGAGTCAGAATCAGGTTTTCACTAACATTTATTGAGTGCCTACTGAATGCCAGGCACTGTGCATGGTGTGTACATATATTATTTATTTGGCAGAGACATAACAATGCTACACTTATATGCATCAAATGACACAGTTTATGAATACATAAAGCAAAGATTATAAAAATATATTGACAAACATAGTTGTACTAACAGATTTTCACATCACCTTTTAAAATTTTCTTAGAAAATACATTTATGAATTGTAGAGAGAGGAAGGGAGAGAGAAAGAGAAAGAAACATCAGTTGGTTGCCTCCCATACATGCCGTGACCTGGATCAAACCCACAGCCCAGTTATGGGCCCTGACTGGGAATCGAACCTGCCACCTTTTGGTGTATGGGATGATGCTCCAACCCACTGAGCCACGTGGGCCAGGGGTCACGTAACCTTACTGGTTTCTGACAGATGAGAGAGGCCAAAATTACGTAACACCTGACCCTGAACAACATGGTTGATAAAACTGAGTTTATTAACAGACATGTAGAGTTTTGAATTCTACAGACAGAGTTTTCCTCTTAAATGTCTATGAAACATGCAGCAACGTTGGACATGTTCTAGGCCACAGTAAAAGCTTTTTCTAAATGTTTGGAAAGCCAATGGATATATTATAGGCCACGTTCTCTGTTCACGGTGCCCTAAATCAAGAAAACAAAGCTAATTTTAAATAAACCCAATTACTGAGTTTCAAAGTACTCTTTAGAAACACTACAATCTAATATTTAGGCAACATAAACGGTCGAACTTTAAGATGGCCAGGGCTATAGTTTAAGTACATTTGTATGACTAAGTATAGGATCATAGCAAGTAATGTTGTCAAAAGAGAACACAAATGAATTTCCTCAAGAACAGAGACAAGGAATAGAAATAAAGCATAAACCCGATACATCCTAAAGGAAAACAAAAGGTACAGAAATAGTGGACATACATAAATCCTAATACTGGTTTTTCAGAAGAATAATAATGAACTTGAAAACCTTTGGGCAAATCTAATAACGATGGGTAAACCACAAACAGATGCTGAAAGGAAGAAAGAGGGTAGAACCAAAGAAAGATAAGATTTTGTTTAATTATAAAATAATATTAACAATTCAGCTGATAATCTGAAAAATTGAATGGAATGAAGACTGTCCTAGGAGATAAAAGAAGACTAAATTGTCAAAATTAGTCAATAAAAAAGGATTAATAAGCAGATAACACGAGAAGAAACTGAGAAAGCCATCCAAGGATCAGCTGGATCGTCCCCTCAACAGCTCTAGGACCTGACGCATTGACTGGTGAATTCTCTCTGAATGTCGAGGGATTGATATTTCTCGAGCTACATTTTTACCTTCTTTGAAGTCACGCCGCACTTCCCACTTGGTGGCATCTTACCATTAAATAGCACTTCTTTCTTTCCCCGTGGTGTATAAAATTATACATTTTACAGTCACTGATGTCTTAAGTTCAATGAAATACAGCAATGCAAAACACCTGACACCAAAAGGTTAAATACAAAAAATAAAATCGTGTGGATGGATGTGTGAAAGGCATTTGATCAGATTCAACACCCACTCCTGGTATTTTGCCAGGATGCCTCCTTCTCAGGACGCCGGGCGTCCCTTCCTGAAGGACTTAAATGTAAAACGCCATGGGCATCCCTGTCAACACCAGGAACAGAAAGAGCACGCAGACAATCAGGAGTAAGGTGGTTTGTTGTGGGGACCGTGGCCAGTCCATGGAGCCCTGAAACAGAAGGGAAGAAGGCATCAATACAGGGACAAAGAGGGGTGGCCACCATTGTCGCCTGCGGGAAAACGGGGCGGTGGGACTGGTGTGCGGGCTGAACAGCTGTTGGAATCAACTGACTAGATGATAAGATAAAGCACATAGTATCCCTGTGTCCCAAAAGAGGAAAGATCAGATGTGATTAAAATTCCAAAGTGCGGCCCTGGCTGGTGTGGCTCAGTGGACTGAGTGCCAGGATGTGAACCAAAGGGTCGTGATTTGATTCCCACTCGGGGCACACGCCTGGGTTGCAGGTCAGGTCCCCAGTCGGGGGGCATGTGAGACGCAACCACACATTGATGTTTCTCTCCCTCTCTTTCTCTTCCCTTCCCCTCTCTCTAAAAATAAATAAAATCTTTAAAAAAAAGAAAGAAAATCCCAAAGCACAATATAAAGTCTCACTGTTTTATTTTTTAATAAAACAGGTTAAACAAGGCATGACAGGGAGATTGAGTGAATGAATGAACGATATCACAGGCCATAGTTTCCTTACCTTAAAGGGCAGGAAACCACAGTGACTACCTCACAGGGCTCAGGAGCTAATAATGGGTGAGCAAGCATCAGGCTAATGAACGAGTTAATACTGAGAAGCTCTTCAAATCGCCTCCAGCTTGTACCAGGCAAGTGGCAGCTCTCATCTGTACCATTCCCGCTCATTTTGTTTTCCTACCTGGAGGTCTCTGAGTGGCCGTTACACCTCCCCCTCGGCCTCATCCACCTGCTTCCTTCCACATGGGCCACCAGAGTGGCTGTGGTGACCCTCGCCTCCCTCCGAGGACTCCCACTGCCCACAAGAATCACCCAACCTCTTTGGCATGGAACTAGGCAGCGAGAAGGGTCCTGTTACAGTCTGAGCGGGAACGCGTCCCTCCTCCGTCCAGAGCACTCAGGGCCTTTGCATTTGCTGTGCACCTCTGCTCAGAACCACTTCCCCCTAGAAATCTGCCTGGCTCAGCCCCTTCCTCCTTCCTGTCTTTACCCCAGTATCTCCCTCTCTGTGAGGACTTCCCTAGGTGGTCTACTTAAAATAGCGTCCCACCCCACCCTGTTCTCCCGAACCTTCTGCCTGCTTTATTTTTCTCCACAGCACTTAACTGCCCCTCAGCATAAGTTCAGTGACTTAGTTTGCATATTGTCTGTCTGTGACTAGAGCCCTGTGGAGGCAGGAGCCATTTCTGTCCCAGCCTTGGTGCCTTGGACACTGCCTGGCACATAGTAGTTGCTCACTAAATAGCTGTGGAAGGAATGAACCATCTTCGCCAGGCCAGGGTTTCACCCTCATCTCCCACTGCTCTCCCCTTAACTCCAGTGTCTCCCTGATGGGTCTTGGGATGTCATGCCGCTGTGCCTTTGTGTATGTGTCCCCGGCCCTGTTCTGCCTGAGACATTCCTGCTCCTCCCCAAACCCCAGGTCTGTTGTCTCCTCTTCTCTGGAATAGTCTCCAGTAGGCCTCCTGGCCACAGAGTTAACGTCTTCTTCCTGTACCCAGCACTTATTTCTGCACAGTCATGGCGTGCTTCCCGCCGCACCCTAACCTTGAGTTGACAGATCTCTCTGGTGCACACCACTCTGCACTGGGTTTCAGATACGTCCTTGGGAGATGGGACACTTATGCGCTGCTTAGACTGGTTATATAATTTTTCTATGTGTAAGATAAATATTTAAAGAACCACAATTATTATTTCACATATTAATGGCTATGCACCACCACCACCCCCAGGAAAATATCAGGTCTTTAAATGAAAGGAACGTGCTTGATAATTTTGTTTCGTTTCACTTGTAGTGTTTGGATTAAAACTCAGTAGGCATGGATAGATGGACGGTTGAGTGGATAGATGGATGGATGGACAGAGGATGAGTAAATGGACAGATAGATGGATGGGTGAATGAATGGATAGACAGATGGACAAATGGATGGATAAGTGGGTGAATAGATGATGGATGGTAAATAGAATGGATCTATGGATGAGTAGACAATAAAAGTTTGGGTGGGTCAATGAGGGGACAGATAAACAAATGGGTAAGTCACGATGAGTTTATGAGCTAAGAGTCGAGGGTACATGCTGGTGGAGTTACACACACCACACGGACCCCCGCCACGCCCTGTCTGACTACCACAGGAGTGTGTTCTCTTTCCCACGAGTGACCTCTTGGGGCCCACATCCCTGAACAGACTTGTGAGCAAGGAAATTGCAGGGAGGGAATGTGACAGCTCCCTGACAGCTGTAGGCTGGGGCATTTGTAAAAGAGGAGGGAGCCCCAGCTTACCTTGGATTCCTCTGACTCATCTTCTTCCACCGAGTTCCATTCTTGGGGATGCCTGGTCTCTTGAGAAGGCAGGTCTGGGTGGGGTGGGGGAGTGGGGGAGAACAGAGTCATGCGTGAGTGACCAGGCCAGCTGGGGGGCTGTTCTTGTTCTCCCCACCTGCCATCCTATCCCTTTTCTGCTAATCTCTCTCTCTCTCTCTCTCTCTCACACACACACACAGTGAGCCCATGTGGTTCAGGTGGAGCAGAGAAAATCGGAGACCTGAAGTCTGATCCCATTTCTGCCCCTAACGACCTGGGAGGCTTGCAGGGGGTCACCTGCGGTGCTGGGCAGCCTGAGTCTCCGCTCCTTCACCTGTCAAATGGGTAAGACAGTCCCTTAACTCCAGGCCTCCAGCCAAATGGAGTGAGGGAGCAGGGCAAAGAGCCACAGAGCCACACCGAGGCGATGGAGGCTTCCCCAGCTCCGAGCCACTGGTGGGGAAATCTCCCCACATTGAACTTCAATGTCTTCCTCACCCCTGAGCTGGTGAGAACTGGGGGTCAGAGCAAAGATGGGCATTTCCCACCTTCCCTCCACAAGGCTCAGCTAGGACCTCACACCACTTCCTCACTATGGAACAGGGGTCCCTATTATCCGTGACCCCATTCCGGGCCTGCTCCACGCTGTGCAAGAAGAAAGGACCCTGCCCCTGGTAGAAGGTCCAACCCCACTCTGCTGTGGGGCACTTTCAGGGGTCCCCACCTCAGCAAGTGGCACCCCCCCCCTTTGCCTCGCTGTCTGGGCCCAAACTCCAGAACTCATCCTTGGTATCTCTTTTGTCCTCCCCTCCCTCCACCAGCAAGACCTCTGGTTCTCGGGACCCTCCCCGCACCCCATGTCCACCACCACCACACCTGACTAGGTCACTTGTCTCCCAGACGTTGGCAGGCGTCTCCTAACTGGCCTCCCAGCCTCATCCTGCAGTTCATTCTCAAGTGCGCTGGACACCGGGTTTCTCCACCTCGCTGTGGGCATTGCCTGCTGCCCGACTCCTAGCGGTGGGGCCGCCCTGTGCCTGGCAGGGTGTCTGGCAGCCCCCCCTCACCCCGGCCTCCACCACTCATCTTCCCAGAGGCGGCAACCCAAATTGTTTCCTGACACCCTCGCATCCCCGGGGAGGGCAGTGCGGTGTGCCATCACCCCCAGTTCAGAACCACTCGCTCAGAGACACCTTTTGGAAATGCAAAGTAGGTCCTGTCTTTCTCCTCTGCAAAGCCTTCCCGGGATTCCTGGTACTCAGAGACCAGAACGCCCGGCACGCTCCTTGCCGAGGCCTGCAGGCTGCCCCTGCTCTGCCCGCGGTGGCTCCTCTGTCCTTCCTCCACTGCGATTCCTCCAATGGGCAAACTCCATGGCACTGCAGGTTGCTGCGTGATCGGTGCAGACTGCCCCAGGCTCTCCCCGCAGCGCTGGGGACAGCTGAGTCCTGCCCTGTCACCTTCCCTGACCATGGTACTCCCCACACATCACCCTGTTTCCCTGTCTTCGCAACTCTCATCAATTTGTCTTTGTATTTAGCAACTTTTTTATTGTCTGTTTTCTCCTCTAAAATCTGAGCTCCAGCCCTGGCCAGGTGGCTCAGTTGGACAGAGCATCCTACTGTGCACCAAAAGGTTGCAGGTTTGATCTGGTGTTGGGTGTGGGTGGGAGGCAACTTGTCCGCCCCTCTCTCTACCCCCACTTCCTTTCTCTCTCAATCAACAAATGTATCTTCAAGCAAAGTTTTTTTTTTAAGATTTAAACAAATCTGAGCCCCACTAAGGCCATTTTGCTCATGGCTAGACCCCTGGAGCCTGACAGATAGTAGGTGCTTGTGGTACATTTGTGCCTCCAAAGCCTCCAACTTGCCCATTGCTCCCTGTGTCCACACTCTGGGCAGTTTCCTCCCTCACCGATGCCGACCTTGGCCGGGTGGCTTATTTTGGCCAATGGCCCGAGAGCAGCAGGGTTGCCAGTAGAGATCTACTGAGTGCATGTGAACTGAGGTGTCCATCTGTTGCCTGGCAACCACCTGTGAGAATAAGCCTTGGACGGGGCTGCTGGGAACAGGGAGCCTGCAGCCAGCACCCACAAACCAGCCGGGCATGCATGTAAAGTCATCTGATCAACCAGCTGTCCCCTGAGTCCACTATGTTTTGGGGGTGACTTGTTATGCAGCAAAAGCTGACTGTCACAAGGCTCCATAAAAATGTGTTGAATAAATGAGTGAAGTGACGAGCGTCTTACCTTTCCCAGGCTCGGCCACTAACTTTCCTGCCACCTCTCACGGGGCCCCTGCTCCTCACCTTTCTGGTCGCTGTCACAGACGGACGCCCCAACCTTCACTGCCACCCAGTCCTTGAGGAAGGTGGCACGCTTCTCCCAGGCCCTGCTCTCCCGAGGCAGCAGCGTCTTGGTCCTCTCGGGCTCCAGCAGTCCCCGCAGCTGCTCAGGTCTGAGGCTCTTCATGTCTCCAGGAGGTGATGCTTCCAAGGTGGACTTGTCTCTCTGTCCTGGGGTCTTGTCCAGTTCCCAAGGCACAGAATTTGGAACCTGGGGACTGACAGACACGTAGTCATTCAACAAATATTCGCAGAGTGCCACTGTGTGCCAGACACTATTTCTAGGTGCCTCGATACTAATGGAGCTCCCTGCCCTCATGAGGCTGACATTGCGGTGCGGGGAGAGACAGACAGTGTTTCAAACGATGAAATGGTAAGGCTTCTGGAGATGAAGAAACACACACACACTCATTCCATGTCTCAAAGCATAGAGTCTGGGGTTTCTAGGAGGAGACAGTCACATACAGCATCCCTCTGGCTGCGGAAAGTACCCATCTTTGTACCAGCCTCCTGTAGCCCAGACTTTCTGCTTTGTTGTCATAAATAAAAAAAGAAAACATTTACCAGGTACAGGTTAAAAAGTCTCATTTAAAACCAAATATCTTCAGTGTTCTCATTCTATACCTTGTCAACCGAAAGTCGGGAGGTTGTTTGCAAGAAGCTGTCTGAATTATGACTTATGATTAAGTAACCCTTTGCCTGAGAATCTAAAAACTTTGGTTTAATATTCTTGTTCTAGGAATGGTATGTATTACTGAGCTTGCATTGTGTAACGTTCTGCCTGCCCTCATGAATAGTAATTTTTTTCAAAGATTTGTCTATTTATTCTTAGAGAGAGAAGAAGGGAGGGAGAAAGAGCAAAGCATTGATGTGAGAGATAAGCATCACCAGTTGCCTCTTCCTTGCACATGCCCCAACTACAGACTGAACCCAGGTATGTGCCCTGACTGGGAATCAAACCCAGGACCGTTTGCTCTGTGAGACAATGCCCAATGAACTGAGCTACACTGGTCAGGGCATGCATAGTAATTTTTAAAAGTCTTTACCCAAGAATATGTTTTTATTGATATTAGTCAGAGAGGGAGGAGGGAGACAGACATAAATATTGATCAGTTGCCTCCTGTACACACCCCAACTGGGGGGTCAAACCCACAACCTTTTAGTGCATGAGACAACACTCTAACCAACTGAGCCATGCACAGCCAGGGCTATAGTAATTTCAGAAAAGAAGTAAATCTGCTTGGCAAAAAAAACAAGCAAACAACACACACACACACACACACACACACACACACACACATACAAAACCCCTCTTATGAGCATTTTCTTCTTAGGTTGATGCAAATAAAAATTGTTAGATTACATTTAAAAACCACAAGGCAGACTTCAGGCCAAGATAGAGGTGTAGGTAGACACACTGTGCCTCCTCACACTACAACAACAACAAATTTAGAGACAAAAAAACCCAGAACTTCCAGAAATTGAACTGTATGGAAGTCTGACAACCAAAGAGTTAAAGAAGAAACATTCATGTAGACTGGTAAAAGGGACAAAGACCAGCAGCCTGGGTGGAGAGGACTCCCAGCAAGGCGGCTACTAGACAGGGAGGTCCCACATTTGTGTGCAGATAAACTGGGAGGAACAACTTGGAAGTGAGATAGACCATGCAATCCAGGGTCCCAGCGTGGGAAAATAAAGCCTCAAAGCCTCTGACTGAAAACACCTGTGGGGTTGACCAGGCAGGAGAAATTCTCGGCCTCACAGGAGAGTTCACTGGAGAGACCCACAAGGTCCTAGAATGTACACAAACCCACCCACCCAGGAATTAGCACCAGAAGGTCCCAATTTGATTGGGGGCGGTGGGGGAAGTGACTGAAAACTAGCAAAGCGTGGAGCAAGCAGAACTGTTCCCTCTCAGACCCCTCCCCCACATACAACGCAGTGATGTGGGTTGCCCCACCCTGGTGAATACCCAAGGCTCCGCCCGTTACTTCATAGCAGGCTTGTTGAGATTTAAAAAAAATGGCCCAAATGAAAGAACAGATCAAAACTCCAGAAAAAAATACAACTAAGCAATGAAGAGATAGCCAACCTATCAGCTGCACAGTTGAAAACACCGGTAATCTGGATGCTCACAGAACTGGTTGAATATGGTTGCAAAATAGAGGAAAAAATGGAAGCTATGAAAAGTGAAATAAAGAAAAGTGAACAGGGAACAACAGTGATGGGAAGGAAACTGGGACTCGAATCAACGGTTTGTAGCGGAAGGAATAAAGAAACATTCAACCAGCACAGGATGAAGAAACAAGAATTTTTTAAAAATTGAGCAGATGCTTAGGAATCTCCAGGACAACTTTCAACGTTCCAACATCCAAATCATAAGGGTGCCAGGAGGAGAAGAGGAACAGCAAAGAACTGAAAACTTATTTGAAGAAATAATGAAGGAGAACTTTCCCAATAAGGCAAAGGAAATAGACTTCCAGGAAGTCCAGGAAGCTTAGAGAGTCCCAAAGAAGTTGGACCCAAGGAAGCACAGACCATCCTAAGGAACATCCTAATTACATTACCCAAGATTAAAAAGAAGGAGAGAATCTTAAAAGCAGCAAGAGAAAAGCTGAGACAGTAGAAAGCAGTTGAAAAGTAGAGACAGTTACCTATAAAGAAGTTCCCATTAGACTACCAACTGATTTCTCAAAAGAAACCTTGTAGGCAGGAAGGGGCTGGAAAGAAGTATTCCAAGTCATGAAAGGCAAGGCCCCTCATCCATGATTATTCTATCCAGCAAAGCTTTCATTTATAATAGAAGGGCAGATAAAGCACTTCTCAGATAAGGTCAAGTTAAAGGAATTCATCATCACCAAGCCCTTATTATCTGAAATGTTAAAGGGATTTATTGAAGAAAAATATATAAACAGTAAAATGACAACAAACTCACAGCTATTAACAACCAAACCTAAAAACAAAACAAAAACAAAAACAAACTAAGCCAACTAGAACAGGAACAGAACCACAGAAATGGAGATCACATGGAGGGTTATCAGCGGGGGAGTGGGAGGAGGAGAGAGGGGAAAAAGGTACAGATAATAAGTAGTCGTAGGCAGGTAGAAAATAGATAGGGAGAAGTTGAGAATAGTATAGGAAATGTAGACACTAAAGAGCTTATATATACGACCCATGGACATGACCTAAAGCAGGGGAATGTGGGTGGGAGTGGGTGTGCATGTGGAGTGGAATAAAGGGGGAGAGTGGGACAACTATAATAGCAAAATCAATAAAGTATATTTTTAAACCACAAGGCAGATGTTCTAGATTCGAAGAAAAGTTAGCAACTCAGCAATCAAATGCCTGTGAGTCTGTTCCCTGTTTCCAACAACTGTAATAGAATAAGCAAGAATTTTTAAAAAATGAAATTAAGTAAACTTTAAAAATGCCTGTGAGATCATGTCTGGAGTCTGATTCAAAGAAACATGATGTTTAAAAAAAAATGTAGGTCCTGGGCAGGTATCCCAGCTGATTAGAGCACCGTCCCAATATACCAAAGTTGCAGGTTTGATCCCCAGTCACAACACATAAAAGAATCAATCGATGAATGCATCAATAAGTGGAACAACAAATTGATAGTTCTCTCTCTCTCTCTCTCTCTCTCTCTCCCCTTACTTCCAGCTCCCTAAACCAATAATTTTTTTTAAAAAAATCAATGTTAAAGAGACAATCAAGGAAATTTGATTATGGACCGAGTATTCGATGACATCAAGGAATGCTCACTGATATTTTAAAGCATGTAAATGGCTTTATAGATATTTAAGAAAATTTCTATCTTTTTTAAAAAGATTTTATTTATTTATTTTAAAGAGGGTAAGGGAGGCAGAGTGAGAGAGAAACTTTAACGTGTGGTTGCCTCTTGCGTGCCCCCTACCTGGGACCTGGTGTGCAACCCAGGCATGTGCCCTGACTGGGAATTAAACCAGTGACCCTTTGGTTCTCAGGCCGGTGCTCAATCCACTGAACCACACCAGCCAGGGCTATCTTTTTTTTTTTTTATGATGGATACAGGTTGTTTCCATGTCTCAGTTTCCACATCATGTTGGGTGTGTATATTGGTTTAATCACTTTGGAAAACAATTTGGTGGAATCTCCTAAAGCAGAACACCCGGTCACTCCAGCAGCCCATGCTTCTACCCCTAGATCTTCAACCAAGAGAAACATGAAAAACATGTCCACACACACACTTGCCTACAAATGTTGCCATCAGCTGTATTCATTATACAAAGCTGCTCACATTCATAGTCAAAGCTACTCATAGTCATAATAGAAACCATGAACAGCCCAGATGTCTCTCAGCCAGAGAATGGATAAGTAAACCCCAGTTTATTCATATAATGGAGTACTACTCAGGATAAAAGGAACAAGGACATACATGCAACAACATGCAAAAACCTAAATATATATATTGGGCCGAGTGAAAAGGCCAGACACCTAGAAGTATATATGTGTGTGATTATACTGATTAAAATCAAAGCCTGATACAGGTGAAATGAATCAATGTTGATAGAAGTCAGAAAAGTGGTCATGCTTGGGGGGGTATAGGGAACTTTGGTGGGGCTGGAGGTTTATTACATGATTATTTTATTTTTAAAATTGATTCCAGAGAGAGAAGGAGAAAGACAGATCACTTTGTTATTCCACTCATTTATGAATTCACGGGTTGATTCTTGTATGTGCCCTGACCCGGGATCGAAACTGCAACCCAGGAGCATCAGGATGATGCTTTCACCAACTGAGCTACCCAGCCAGGACCTGGAGATGTTCTAAATCTTGATCTGAGTGGTGGCCCCGGGGTGGTGTCATTTGTGCAAATTCACTGAGCTTTACCTGGACTGAATTGAACACTTCATCATGCCCATTACTCAATGCATTTTAGACCCTACTAAGAACAGTGAAATAAAACACAAATTGCTTACATTTCAGGTAACTTCACCTGTGATTTGCTGCACATGTCTGTGTCAATATACACATAAATAAATACTGGCTTTTGGAATTACATATTGCATGAATTTTGCTGTGTCGTTTGAGCCTGGTTCCGCTGAATTGTCAGCACCATTGTGGGGTGTTTTATAAAGTCCTGCCTGTAAACATAGAAAATACTTCTCTCTTATAAGGAAAATGTGTACAAATGGCAAAGGATGCCTGGTCTGGGGAGATGTCATAGGGAGTAGTGGGGATTGCAGCAAAGGAGAGATCGGGTGCCCAGTCCGAAGAAGCTGCCCATTCAGCTTGGCCAATGTTTGCCAAGTAAAAACGTATGGCTCAGTGTGTCCTGACTTCTAATTTCTCACAAGAACAATGGAAATCTGTGTTTTGGGGTGACATCTTCTGCACTTTAAAAATGCCAATGATGAGCCCTGGCTGGTGTAGCTCAGTGGATTGAGCACGGGCCTGTGAAGCAAAGGGTCGGTCACCGGTTCGGTTCCCAGTCAGGGCACATGCCTGGGTTGCAGGCCAGGTCCCCAGTGGGGGACACATGAGAGGCAACCACACATTGATGTTTCTCTCCCACTCTTTCTCCTTCCCTTCCCCTCTCTCTAAAAATAAATAAATAAAATATTTAAAAATAAAAATAAAATTGCCAATGATCATTGCAAATATTTAAAAGATGAAGCACTGTCCCTGAACACCAAAAGGTTAAGTACAGGTTTGATTCTGAATCAGGCAACCAATCAATGTTTCTGTCTCACGCAGACGTTTCTCTCCCTCTCTCTCTCTTTTGCCCTCTCTCTAAAATCAATAAACATATCCTTTGATGAGGATTAAAAAAAAAAAAAAAGGAAGACACTCTGGGAGCCAAATAGCACAGGTGGTGGGGCTGGGCTTGGCCCTGGGCTGCCAATTTGCAGTCAGTGTCGGTTGGGAAGGAAGTGGGGGGTTGGGGAGGATACAGGGGGGTGGGGGAGGAGGCTGGAAGCACAGACAAGTTTCCAAGGAACCACAAACTGGCCTTGAACACCCGGGTGCGTGTTCAAGGGAATTTACACCCACAGCTTGTGTGCCCCGTGATGCAGCAAACAAATTCTCCCTGAGAAGAAAGGAAGGAGATGCGGCAACAACAACGACCGCCGCCACAGTAACAGTAATCGCAACACTGCGGCCCTGGTTCCTGCTCATCGAACGTGCACAGTGGTTTTCCGCGGCAGACACGGTATGATTCCGATGTACCGACAGAGCAGGCCCTTGGTCAAAGCCACAGGACTAAATGGGAGCTGGGCAGGGAGCAGAACCCTGTCCGCCTGCAGCCCCTGAGCGCCCAGCCATTGGGGGGTGAAGGTACCCAGACACACACGGCGCCCGCGGACACAGATCTCACTGGAGACCAGAGTACAAGTGAGCGCAGCGACCCGCTAGCGCGCGCAAGACACAAACGCAGGGGCATCCTGCCCTCCTTGCGCCAAGGCCTAAACTCAGGGGCAAGCCACTGGCCAAGGGACAGACAGCCCTTGGCCGAGAAACCGACCCAACCCAGCCTTCGTGCATCGGATGGGCTACAGACCCCTCCCCACAGCCGCCTTCCTGGGGCGGCCCTGGCTCCTCAACCCAGGCACACACACACACACACACACACACACACACACACACGCACATTCACTTTCTCACACGCATTTACTTTCTCGTGGGCGTAGCTGAATCACCACGCCCGCGCCCCCAGCCCCATTTCCCCGCCCCCTTCCACCCGCGGGGTCCCTGCATGGACTCACCCTCCCCAACCGGACCCTGTCCTAGCACTGCAGAGTTGGCGCAGCAGCGACTTACAGCTGCGCAGACGCGGAGGCTGCGGAGGGAGGTGGGGTTGGTGATGGGTGGGGGGGGAAGGGGAGAAGAAGCCGGTGGGCGGCCTTCTCCCTTCTTCCAGTCTCGGCAATAGGGAGCATGCGCCTGCCGGTGTCGGGGTGGGGGGGTGGGAAGCAGGGAAGCGCCCGTGAGGCCATGGGGTGTGAGACGTGCGACTCTGCTTGCTACGAGGTCGGCCACAGTGGAATGAGCCGTCCACACCCTGCCGGTACGCTCGGATGTTCTCGTCTTTGTCCCGCTAAGGCATCAGCTTCACACAACCGGAGTGGGGATGGGGGAGGGCGAAGGAAGGAGCTGGGCAGGGGTGAGGCAGCCCCCCCGGGACCCCGAGGGTCAGAAGCTGGCTCTGCCTTTTGTCGCTAGTGTATGGTTAGGTGTGTGTCACCTCTGCGCCTCAGTCTCCGATTCTGTTCGGGGCAAATACTATGCTGACTGCGTCGCAGGATTGCTGCGAAGGTAAAAAATTAAATAGCGCCTGCATACTGTTTAGTAGCTAATAGCTGTTCCTATTATTATTCACGTTGGCAGTGCAGCGACTATCTCCAAGTTGCTCTCAAGGTGGCTACACCAAAAATTTTGTTTTATTTTTAGAAAGCTGTAGATGAGGGAGAACAGATTTCCTTTTACATAATCATATCGTCATTTTCCTGCTCTGCTGGTGGGGTGGAGAAAATTTACATGTTTGTTGACCAGGTTTCTCTTCCCTTCTGTGAATGCCCTGTTGACACCCTCCCTGCTTTGTGTAGAGGTTACTTGTCGATTTGTAGGTTTTATTTACATGTTCTGGATATCAGTCCTTTGCCTGATTATTGCAGCAGGTGTATTGTCCTGGCCCGTGTGTCCAGAGAATTCGGGCAAGAAAGGGAATGATGGGGGATGAGACAAGAATGGCATCCAGGGTCCTGAGAGCCACAGTAACATCTTTGAGTGTTATCACGGGTCTCTGGGAAGTCATGGAAGGAAGGGTACCGAGGAAGGGTGTGATAGGACCTGACTTACATTTTCGAGGCATTCCTGAAACTGCTGTGTGAAGACCACTTGAGGAGAGTCAGTGGGTACAATGGGAAGAAGACCTTATAGGAGGGTGTTGCAATAAACCAAATGAGAATGATGGTGGTGGGAATGGGGTGGCAGCAGAGAGATGGTGAGCAGGGGGCAGATTCTGCATATACTTTGGAGATGGAGATGTGAGGACTCACTGATGGATGAGTGTGAGAGGTGAGAGGGTGTGAGAACTCAGGAAGACTTTTTGACTTTGAGCCTGAGCAGCTGAGTACCCTGTAGTACACTGAGTAGGATCAACTTTATTTATTGTTGTTGTTATTTTGCATGTACAAAGAAAATCTGGAATTCCACCCTGGCCGGGTAGTTCAGTTGGTTGGAGTGTCGTCCTGATATGCCATAGTTAAGGGTTTGATCCTCAGTCAAGGCACATAAAAGAATCAGCCACTGGATGCATACATAAGTGGAGCAACAAATCAGTGTTTCTCTCTCTTTCCGTCTTCCTCTCACTTGAAAAATCAATCAAGAAATCAAAACTTTCTTAAAATCCAGAATTGCCTTTGGGGCATGTTAAGTATTTGATGCCTGTGTTTCTAAGGTTAACACCAGGAGAGCCTGTATTCTTGAGATGCCGGCAATTGGAGAGGGTTAGGGAATGGGCTCAGAAAACTGGTCAGAAGAGCACGTGCAACTAATCAAAGGACCCCGGGAAAGTAGGTTTTTGCCACTGTCCATAGTGCTGAAAACCCCAGATCGAAATCTTCAGGCACTGAACCTCAGTAAACAGACTTGTCCATTGTGCTGATCTCCCGTCTCAATTTGTATCTGTCCATGGTTCTGAACCATTTCCCCCACAGTCCTGTCCGTGGTGCTAAAATATTTTCTGCGCAAATACGTCTGTTGTGCTGAACCCCTTTCCTGACCGCCGTGGTGGTGCTGCTGATCTTTCTTCTTTTTTTTTTTTTACTTTTTTTTTAAATTTTATTTAGTTATTTTTCAAGTACAGTTTTTTGTCTATTTTTCCCATCCCAGCCTCCCCTGTGATCTTTCTTCTCCCATTAGATCTCTCCATGGTGCTGAACTCCTTTCCCCATAGACCTTCCCGTTAGATCTCTCCATGGTGCTGAACTCCTTTCCCCATAGACCTTCCCATGGTGGTGAACCACTACAGTAGACCTGTCCACTGCTGCTGAACCCAACTAGTGCAAGCTGTTTGAGGTGCTGAACCCCTTTTCATTATTCTGTTTAAAATCTTTACCCACAGATATGTTCATTGCTTTTGAGGGAGACAAGAAGGGAGAGAAACATTGATGTGTGAAAGAAACATTGATCAGTTGCATCTCACATATGCCCAGACAAAGGATCAAACTTGCAACATTTTGGTGCACAGGACAAGGCTCAAACAAAATGACTAACCTAGCCAGAGCTTAACCCCTTTTCAGATCGGCCTGTTCGTCGTGTTTAACCACGAGGCTAGCTGAGCTGCCCCTGGCGCTGAACCCTTTCCCCATATACTTGGCCATGGCATTGGACTTCATGGGGGATGCCTATCCATAGTGCTGATTCAGACGAGCGGGAGCTGTCAGTTATTGAATCTCTGGGCAGAACACACAACTCTGTCTACCCCTAACTTCTTCAAAGAACAGATCTGCCTGGGAAAAAGCCCTGCTGTTGTCTAGACACAAAGCTCTTTGGTCCATGGGGAACATGGGATGAAAGCAGATGAGGGCAAAAAACTGCACAGTCTCTTACGCAGAAGCTTTGGCTTTCAGAATGGTAGAGACAAGTTACAACCTGACTGAAATTAGTAACACGGAGCTTCTAAAACATTTCTGTGGGGGAAAAAAGTACCCCCAAATATAAAAATCAAGCACAGATGTGCCAAGATTCAGGATGATGATTACCTTGCATTGGAGGAAATTGAGGGAGTGCTACAGCTATATGGGAGTTATAGGCCAGGTTCTAGTTTTTACATCATGGTGATGAGGGTCCACAAAAAGAATATTATAGTGTGTTTATTAAAATACAGCATGGCTATATGTTATGCTAACTTGAATTATAAATATTTGAAATCAGGATATTTGGCTTTTTTTTTAATGACAAGAAGACCTGCAATTTAAACTTCCCTAAAAGTCCTTACTTTCTAATAAGATGAATTGTGTACATTGTAAACCATGTTTGTTACTTTCAGATCATTAGTAGGAGCAACACGCCATTCATCCTGTTAGGGTTGGCCTTGTATTATGCAGGTTTTGGATGGTGCAAGGTCTTCAAGAATGAGCGAGCCCCTGGCATAAAAATCCAGCCACCCTAGAATTGATGATTGAATGGATAGATATGTTTGTTCTTCCCAAAGGTCTGGTCACCAGGGAACCCAAGGCTGCCCCCATCACTCAAGGCACATTCATAAAACACCCACAATGTGCTGAATATTGCAAGAGACACTTGAAGCATGTCCCCTCCATCTAAGAGGATAATTTCCACTCCTCTCTAAGGGTCAGGAAGCCTTCAGTGTCTGGTTTGAACTTTTGATCAGTTAGACCCACTGAACTCTGGCTCTGCTCTAGTTTTCAAAAGGAGTTATTGGCCCAGTGGGTTTTGATATTCCAAATTCTCAAAAGAAATTGGAGCTTATTATATTAAAATCTTCCTTTCTTTCCCTTGCTTTCTGTAATCTGGTCTCCATGATGGTGGAAATTTTTTTTTAATTTTTTCATTATTTAGGCTATTACAGTTGTCCCAATTATTTCCACTTTGGTCCCCTTTTCACACAGACCCTTCTCCTACACCCAATCGCACTGGGTGTAGAAGCAACATCACACTGTTGTTCATGTCCATGGGTGGTAGGGGAATGTATTTTTATAATACACTGATGAGTCTCTACCTCTTAGTATTCTCAGCATGTAAGATACTTTAAAAAACCCATTTTATTTATTTTAGAGAGGGCGTAAAGGAGAAAGAGAAGCACTGCAGTGTGAGAAAAACACCAATTGGTTGCCTCTTGCATGTGTCCAACTGGGGCCCTGGCCCACAACCCAAGCATGAGCCCAGAATGGGAATCAAACTCGTGATATTTCAGTTTGCAGGCACAGGGCTCAATCCAGTCGGCCACACCAACCAGAGCAACCAGATATTATTTTTTTTCCTGAAGGATTAAATGAATAAAGTGTGATGCTTTTAAATGAAAAATATTCCAATGACAACTCGTTACACTGAAAAGAAACTGAGTGAGCTCAATCACGTTCATCTGTTGTCTGGGTGCAGCCTGTGCTCTGCCCAGCTGAGTCATCCATGGTCATGGAATGCCAATGGAGTAAGACTGCAGGGAGACCACTCCATGGGCAAGGATTCTGTTGTCTCCTCCTTTGGACCACCAGCAGTGGTAAGACTGTGTGGCACCAAGTAAAGGCTCCTGTAAAGTTCACCCAACAAGGAGTTCACCCAACAAGTTCACCTTTTTCACTTTTTATTTATTTGTGAGAGATCAATTTTTTTGTTCCACTCTTTCAAGGGTTCATTGTTTTTGTTTTTCCTCATGAGACCTGAGCAGACATTAAACTCTTGACCTTGGCATATCTGAGCAATGCTTCACCAACTGAACCACCAGCAGGGGCCCAGTTTCAGGCCAGGTGAGTAAGCACACTGTGCTCTGTCTGTCCCACTGGAGCACTTCAGTAGACTAGCAACCATGCAGAAGTGGGAGCCAGTCTAAGTACTGATCACCACCAGGTCGTACCCTTTTGGTGATGAGCAGGAGGGCGCTAGGGCACAGGGCCCAGTCAGCAGCCATTTGCCCATGTTCACAAAATCATCTGAAAGAATTAACCAGTATAAAAATAGTACCTAATTACCCAGTTATTAATAAATGCTTTATTTATTACGGATAGTACAGCACCATGCTTATATCGTTTGCTATTTATTATTGGTAACAGAAGGCTGTCAGCAGCAGTAACGAAATATTAACTAAAATATGACCTAGGCTGTGGGTGAGGCATTGACTGAGTAACTCCCCCACCTGACTGAAGGCACTTTATTTTTCACCAGAACTGCAGCCTGCGGGGGCTGGGTTGGGCGCATTCTGTGATGTGAGAGAGGATTTTCTGCTGTAACTGAAACACCCCTGCAGGGTGGGGGTCCACAAGGCCGGGTGTCTACAAGAGGGACCCTTTGCCCAATATCCTTGCTGAGGGCCTGGGCCCTGCCACCTGGTCTGACCATTCCCAAGTCAGGAATGTGGGGCTGGGAGAGGCAGGTGGCTTCATACCTTGAGCGGGCCTGCTGGGTTACTCGGGTTCTTCGGCAGTATTTGTACTCCCTGCCCCCAAGTGTTGACACTCATTTTGACAGAAAAACCTGTACCTGTACTTCTTGCACCAGATGAATGTTTAAAATGACAATGGTCTCCCTTAAAATTTCAGTGATTGAGAAATCACTGAACCTCCTCATGCTGCTGGTGGGAGTATGTGTGGAGGGGTGATGGATACATGTAATTTTCTGCTCATATTTCTCCTTTGTCATGGGAGACAAGCAAACCCCAAGGACACCTGTTTTGATAACAGACCTCAGATGTGCTAGGATCATTCTCAAGCCAGGAAGCCAGGGCTGCGAGGACCAGGTGCACTAGGGTAGGTTCCTGATTTCTGGCAGTTCCTGTGGGGTATCTGTGCTCCCTCTCCCCAATCACAGACACTCATTGGGACAGGAAAACTGGTCCCTGGGTGTTTTGTACCTGCAACAGTTAAAATGACACTGGTATCACTTAATTAAAGTCTTTAATTTAAAAGGAATTTTTAGTAGACCACTGTGAGAAACTTTGATATATGAAGCAACTACTGTTACATCTTAATCCCCTCCAAAGTTTTTCTCCATGTGACCCAACTGGTTACTTCTGCAGATTATAAGTCTGAGCCTCTCCAGTTGGTGTTGCAGGGAAACTAGAGACTGGGTGTGGGGAAAATGAGCAAACACACAGGCATGTGTGACAAAGTGACAATGTCCCCATGGAGCCCACCTCCCCATTCCTTCCTCCTCCTAATTCTCTACTGTGGAGGAGATGGAAACCCTGAGACACTAAATGTCTGGTCCACACTCATAGGACAGTTTACTCCAGCTCAGTCTGCAGCCATAGTGCCCCTGCCCACGCTCCCAGATACTAAACCTGTAGGGGGACTTACTTTCCACACAGCCACACAGATGCTACAGAAGCAAATGGTGAGCATGGCATGGACTTTCCCCAAACCCCACATTCCTATGACCTGTCTGGGCAGGACTTTTCTTGTGTCCTACCCATGGGCCCAAATGTCAAGTCTCACACTTGCCCAAGGGCTCAGGACCTTCCAGGAGTGTGGGGCTTCTGAGATTCCCTGCCCCTCTTCTATGTGTGCATTCTCCTCTGGTGAAGCATGAGGCTGACGTTCCTGATGAGGGTTTTCTGTGTAGGATAAATGGAGGCAGTCTGGATCCCTCATCCAGCTATCTGGGGAACTAAGATAAGCTATGTTTTCATGGCCTTGAGACCGGATCCAATCATCAGTTCCCATAACATTGAGTGGGCTCACATACACAGAATCATGCTGTTATACAATCTTCTGGCTGTCTGCTGGCTTTGTCTGTATTGAGTATGTAAGGGGGACATGCAGCTTGCAGCATGCATGGATCGCCCACCATTTACTAAAGGCATGTCAAGCATCCCCACGGCTCCACCATTTTTTTTCCTTCTGCCTGAATCCAGAGTGAACCTGCCAGACCTTGACAGGCTACAAGATATTCATTCTGCACTTGCCTCACGTGTAGGGCCTGTCTCCCATGTAGATCCTCTGGAGGACAGGGACAAAGAAGTTCCTGACTTAGACTTTGTTGCCCTGGGTGCACTTACAGTGCTTCTCCAATGTGTGGTTGGTTTGGTGGTCCTGCAGGGTTGAGCAGCCCACGAAGCACTTCTGGCGTGAAGCACTGTTAGGGCTACTCCCTGGTGTGCATGAGGCTGTGCCTCCAGAGTGAAGACTTTTGCCTGAAGGACTTGCCACACTGGCGACAGGTATAAGGCTTTTCCCCAGTGTGCGTCCTCTGGTGTGCAATGAGGTACTCGTTCCTGGTGAAGGCCCTGCCACAGTCCCTGCATGCATATGGCTTCTCCCCACTGTGTATCCTCTGGTGCACTATAAGATTCCTGTTCATTCTGAAGGCCTTGCCACAGTCCTCGCACATGTATGGCTTTTCCCCAGTGTGCGTCCTCTGGTGTGTGATGAGGTACTCGTTCCTAGTGAAGGCCTTGCCACAGTCCTCGCACATGTACGGCTTCTCCCCAGTGTGTGTCCTCTGATGCAGGATGAGGCTCCTGTTATCACTGAAGGCTTTGCCACACTCCACGCACTTGTATGGCTTCTCCCCAGTGTGAGACCTCTGATGCACGATGAGGCTCCTGTTCCTGGTGAAGGCCTTACTGCACTGACTGCACAGGTAGGGCTTCTCTCCAGTGTGTGTCCTCTGGTGCACGTTGAGTTTCCATTTCTGGCTGAAGACCTTCCCACACTCCTCACAAGGATACAGTTTTTCCCCCGTGTGTGTGCTCTGATGCTTGATGAAGTACTTGTTCCGGGAAAAGGCCTTTCCACAGAACCCACATGAATATGGCTTGTCCCCAGTGTGCATCCTCTGATGTGAGATGAAGCCCTTGTTTTCCCTGAAGGCCTTGCCGCACTGCCCACACTTATACGGCTTCTCCCCAATGTGCACGCACTGGTGGAGGGTGACATATGACTGCCCAGAAGTGAACTGCTTCCCACATGTGGTGCAGGAGAAGAGCTTCTCCCTGCTGTGGATTTGTTGCTGCTCTTTCTGGGATGAGCTACAGCTGAAAGTCTTGCCACAGTCCCTGCAACTGCAGGACTTCTCATCTGTACTGAGTCTGGAGGGAGGACCAAGGCTTGAAGTACTGGAGGTATTCCTAAATGTGGTGAACAAGTGCATCCCTGGTCCTCTTGGTCCTTCAGATCCAGGTGGGGTCGGAATGAGCCTTTGGTGCACAAATACCTTAAATTCACAACATTTACGGGCTAACATACAGGACTTGTCCAGTGGCCCCAGACAGGTTCTTGGGCTGCCCTCTCGCCATCCAACCCAGTCATTCTGTGGAGCTGCTCTTTCAGAGTTGTAACCCCAGTCACCATTCCTCACAGGTCTTTCGGCCACTACACCAATGGATGGTCTGTCTTCACAACTGTTCTCCTGTGGGTCTGATTCTTTTGTGTCAGGTCTAGTCTCCAAGTCTGAGGGGAGGGGGAAGAGATGAAGACACACATGGAGTTAACCACCAGAGAGAGGATCTTCCTAAGACACAAGGCACAGGCTGAGAGCAAGGGACAAACTTTCAGAGGACAGAGGGTGAAAAGAAGCAGTGAGCTGAGACAATATATTGTAGGGAGGTGAGCACAGACCAAAGGTCTCCTAAGAAGTGGATGCAAAGGTGTCCAGGGAGCTCAGAGCTGGGCAGAGAAACCCTAGGAGAAAGAAGAGGAAGGCGGGCCTGGAGGAGCAGATCAAAGGCTCCTACAAACCCAGTGAGGGTTCACTGCACCCAGCTCCTGGCTTCCAGACCTCGTCCTGCATGCCCTCAGCCAGCTGTGCTTCTCAAACCATGGACTGTAATTAGAAACAATAAGTAAGAACTGACTCACATGCAGGTGTGCTGATCATTCTGCGTCACCGCAGGCCATCCCGGCTCCCATCTTTCTATGCTGCCTAGGAGTGTCCTGGCCCTGGCTGCTGACTTCTCACCCTCCTCTGTGCACACTTGTCCCTCCATGCTGACCACAGCTGCTCCAGTCCTCTCCTGAGTGTGTCCCACGGGATCCTCAATCACTGTTTCCACCTAGGGGACTGTCCCAAATTCTGGACTCTGCACATGGACATCAGGGCTCCTCCCAATATTAAAAACCGTGAAGACTTTGGGGAAAATCTCATTCAAAAAGGGAAGATCTAGCCACATGGAGCTCCCCTTCCTGGGAGGCAACAAAGAAAGCAGACACAGTAAGCAGCTGTCCCTCTTCTCCCATTTAAGCCTCCACTGCTCCCATACATCCGAGTTTGACACCATCCCCTGAGTACTAGGCCAGATTTGTGTCTCTTCTCCATGCTGACATCTCCTAAACAGATGACCCCACCCAGACCCCCCACTCTGAGCTCTGCTGAGGAATAATCCAAGGCCTAATGGACACCCTTCTCCAGTATCCCAAATTAACACATTGGATGTGAAACTTGATTTCAGAACTTCCAGCCCAAATAATACAAGAAATAAGAAGACCCATCAACCAGACTTAGCAAAATGTGTCAGACACACAGTGGCCAGTACTGTATGATTCTACTCAAAGGAGGCAAGTAAAACCATCAAACTGACAGACGGAAAGTAGGACATGGGAGCCCGTGCTTCGGGAAGTAAAAGGGGAAGCTATTCTTTACAGGTGACAGATTGCCAGCTGGGGACAATTAAGAATTCTGGACATGGATGGTGGTGAGGGTTGAACAACAGATTGTACTTCACACATGGAACTGTGCATGTAAAAATAGCTAAACAGTCAAAAACAAAATAGTTAAACAGTTAACTTTATGTCGTATATATTTTGTAACCATTGAGAAAATAAATTTTGCTCTGGCTTATGTGGTGCAGTGGAGTGAGCCCTGGCCTGTGGACAAAAAGGCTGCAGGTTTGACTTCCTGTCAGGGCACATGAGAGGGAGATGGGCCAGGTCACCACCTGGGGCGTGTGAGAGGCAACCCATCGGTATTTCTCTACCTCCCCCACACTCAAAAAACAAGTAAACAAAATATCTTAAAAAAAACCTTTTTTTTCATAATTAACTTTAGCTTTTTTATTCTTTTTTAAAAAATTTTTTATTGATTATGCTGTTACAGTTGTTCTATTCCCCCCTTCATTCCCCTCCACCCTATTCCCCTGTCCCCACCATTACCCCCCTTTAGTTTATGACCATGTGTCTCAAGTCCTTTAGATTCTATATTTCCCATACAATTCTTGCCCCCCCATCTATTTTCTATCTACTGTCTATGCTACTTATTTTCTGTACCTTCTCCTCACACTCCCCTGTTGCTAACCCTCCTTGAGATCTTCATTTCTGTTTCCACTCCTGATCTAGCTGTCCTCTTAGTTTGCTTTTGTTTTAGGTGTGGTTGTTAATAACTGTGAGTTTGCTGTCCTTTCACTGTTCATGTTTCTTTAACTTCTTTTTCTTAGATAAGTCCCTTTAACATTTCATATAATAAGGGCTTGATGATGATGAACTCCTTGAATTTGATCTTATCTGAGAAGCACTTTATCTGTCTTTACATTCTAAATGAAAGCTTTGCTGGATAGAGCAATCTTGGTTGTAGGTCTTTGGATTTCATGACTTGGAATACCTCTTTCCAGCCCCTTCTTGCCCGTAAGGTCTCTTTTGAGAAATCCGCTGACAGTCTGATGGAGACTCCTTTGTAGGTGACTGTCCCCTTAGCTCTTGCTGCTTCTAGGATTCTCTCCTTCATTTTAATCTTGGCTAATGTAATGATGATGTGCCTTGGTGTGTTCCTTCTTGGGTCCAACTTCTTTGGTACTCTCTGAGCTTCCTGGATTTCTTGAAAGTCTATTTCCTTTGCCAGAGTGGGGAAATTCTCCTTTATTATTTGTTCAAATAAGTTTTCCACTGGTGGCTGTGCCTTTCCCCCTTCTGGTACCCCTATAATTTGGATGTTGGAGCATTTAAAGATGTCCTGGAGGTTCCTAAGACTCTCCTCATTTCTTTGAATTCTTGCTTCTTGACTCTTTTCTGTTTGGCCATTATTTGCTTTCTTCTGGTCCACTCCATTGATTTGAGTCCCAGTTTCCTTTTCATTGCCATTGGTGTCCTGTGCAATTCCATTCATTTCAATTAGTTTCGCCTTCATATATTTGTCTAATTTGTGGCTATAATCAACCAGTTCTGTGAGGATCCTGATCACCAGTGTTTTAAACTGTGCATCTGAGAGTTTTGCTATTTCTTCATCGCGTAGATTTATAGGCTCTGGGGCTTTGAGATCTTCTTGAGCCATTTTTGGTCTGTTCTGGCCCTTTAAGTGTGAGAAGTGGCGCCTTGGACTCCCAGGTCGCTGGGTTGTGACGCTGTATGTGGGGTTGTGGTCAGAGCGGGAAATGGCGACCCCCTCTGCTGTTTTGCACCGCTGGGTGAGGAGCAGCGCCTTAGGTGGTTCACCTGGGCCGGGCCACTCAGAGTCGCTGGGTTATGACGCTGGTATGAGGTGGGGTCAGAGCAGGGAAATGGCGGCGCCCTCCCTGCCGTTCCTGTGGGGACCCACTGGGTTCCGGTCCAATCACCCACTCCCTCGCTTGTCTCTCTGCGCACAAATGCGCGACCACAGTCAACACGCAGCCCTGCTCCCCTGCTGTCTCCCCCGCGGTCGCTCGCTTCGTCGCTCGCTTCGTTGCTGCTCGCTCGGTCGCTCACTAGGTCCAACCCTGCGCCTGGATTCCGCGCCTGAGTCGTCTGACCGAATTTTCCTGTGCAACCCCGCTCCACCAGCCGCTGGTTTCGCCCCTTACCGGTAAGGCTGAAGAATTTGTTGTTAACAGACTTCCAAAAAATTCAATTTTCTGTGTTCTGGCTGTATTTTCTGTTGCTAATATTTAGTTGTCTCTAAAGTTGGTTGTGTGAGAAGGCACGGCACATCCACCTATGCCTCAATCTTGGCGGAAGTCAAAAAACATTTTTTATAATAAAAAAAAAGATCTAACAGTCATCCTTGGCTCACCCCTTCCCTCCCACTAGCCACACTGTTGACAAGTGCCACCACGCATGACAACAACTTGAACCGGACCAGACCCCTGCACCACCACTGCTGCCGATGCAGCAGTCTCTCCCACTCTACAACCCACAGTTCACTCCATGGGCAGAGGACCTCAGAGCCAGACCAAACCCTCTAGCATCTTCCCAGTACCTTGGGATCCAGAGGCAATGCCTTCCCTCTTCCCTACTACTGTCTGCTATCCAGCCCTACTCATCCTTGTTTCCCTTTGATTTCCTTGTGTGTGCCCAGTGCTTCCTGCCTTTACCCCAGCTACCCCATGGGAGCTCATCCTGGAGTCTCAGTGAGCCTTTGTTCCCCACAGAGAGGCCTTCTCTGTCCACCCTGCTATGAAAAGGAAGCTACTGCCTGCCTCTCCCTCTCCTGTGTCATTGTGAGCGCCCATTACCGCCTCTCTTCCTTGATGTGCACTCTGCCAGCTCCCATAGCAGGAGCTGACCACCGTGAAGGCAAGGGCCTCTCCAGTCCTCAGCTCCCACAGTGCCCAGAACACAGAAGGCACCTGATAAACCTTCAGTGAGTGTTGGCCACGCACTGACATGGTAAAAAGCACCCCTGACAATACAGGACTACGTGCTGGTAAGATTCCCAGTGTACAGATGGGGAAACCGAGCCTCTGACAATGGAGCCACGCCCTCAAGATCACCCAGCACATTCCATAATGCGGTCCCATCCCTGAGTCACTATTTGCCCCCTGTAACTATTCTATGCCAGAGGAAAGGATGTGAGAAGTGCATAAGGTAGAGTGAACCTGGTTTCGTGACCCTGAGGTGTGGGGGTGATGCCAGATGTCAGAGCAGGTGGTGGCCTGGGACATGGAGGCTCAGGGTAACTTTCCAGACAGAAGAGGGAAGAAGGGTGATGGTGGGTGTATTTGGGGACATAACTAGCCTGTGGCTGCAGAGATTGGAGAGAGGAGTCTCCTTTGTGAACATGGTCAGACCACAAACCTGAAGAAAGTAACCAAAAAACTGGATTTCATCAAATTACAAACTTCTGCTCATCAAGAAATGGTGCTGGGGCACCTGGGTATGCACGTTCAAAAGAGCACAACATGTAACGATTCAAGATGGTGTGACTTTGGGTAGTGGGAACACAATGCAACATACAGAGCATTTATCATGGAACTGCACACGTGAAACCTACTGGATCCCGTGAGCCAATGTCACCACAATGACTTCATTTAAAAAACAAAAACAGTGACGTTTGCCACTTTATACACCATTCACAACAATTAACTCAAAATGCACCAAAGCCCTAAATAGAGAGCTAAAATCCTAAAACTTGTAGACAAAAGAGGAATAAATCTTCACGACCATTGGTAAGGCAACGGCCCCTCAGATATGAAACCAAAAGCACAAGCAACAACAAAATAAATAACTAGACCCCCATCACCATTAAAAACGTTTGCTTCCAAATGATGCCACTGAGGAAGAGAAGAGAGTACCCACAGAGTAGGAGAAACAGTTGCAAAGCATGTATCTGATACAGGACTTAGAGCAAGAATTAACAACAAAAAAATATGGAAAGAATTTTGAAAATTGAATAATAAGGAAGCAAACACCACTAAACACACAGGCCAAAGACTTGAACCAACCCCGGCTGGTGTGGTTCAGTGGATTGAGTGCCGTCCTGCAAACCACAGGGTTGCCAGTTCAATTCCCAGACTAGGGCACATGCCTGGGTTGCAGAACAGGTCCCTGCTGGAGGCCGTGCAAGAGGCAACCACACAATGATGTCTCTCTCTCTCTCTTCCCCTCTATAAAAATAAATAAAATCTTTTTTAAAAAAGACTAGAATCAGACACTTCACTGAAGAGAATACACTGATGGGAAATAAGCACCTGCAAAGGTTCTCAGTACCAGCTGCTGGAGTGGGGTAGGACTGAACACCCACGAGAATGGCTGCAGTGAGAGAGACTCAGTATGTTGTGTTCTGACAAGTGCATGAAGCAATGAAGTTCCCTGTGAGTTCTGGTAGGAAAAAAAAAAAAAACAAGACAAAGGCTTTGAAAAAAGTTTGGCAGCTTTTGAAAATGAAAAATATGCACATTTGCATGACCCAACCATTCTCAACAGAAAGGACTTGCTGATGTGACCCTAGGTCAGGGCCTGAAGGGGAGGCAACTGATTCATCTTTCTCCTTCTCTCTCACTCTCTCAAATCAATAAACATATCTTCCAGTGAGGATTTAAAAATAAAAGAAAAAAGGGAACTCTTGATATATATATGGACATTGTGGGTGAACCTCAAAGAAATGATGCCAAGTGTAAGAAATCAGATAAAAGAGTGTGTGCCATGTGATTCCGTATACATGAAATCCTAGAATAGGCAAACTAAACCACAGTGGTGACCAGGGGGCGGAGGGTAAGGGAAGGAAAGAATAATTTTGGGGGTTAATGGACATGTCTGCACCAGATGGATGATGTCTCAGATGGATACGAATGTCAAAAAGCATCAAACTGTTCACTGTAACTATGTGCAGTTTACTGGAGATCAGGCAAACCTCCGGGAAAGTTGCTAATGAAATGGGACCATATACTAATTCACAAAGTTACAGTTTTTCCTGAAAATCTTATCCAGGGACATGTTTCTGTGTCAGTGACTACAAAGAGTGCTCACCTTGGAAGAACATCGTGATATCCATGGTATTGCTACACCATGATTTGTTTGGTAGTCTCATAGGTGGCCATCCACCGCACTTCTCTTGATTTTTCTTCTTATGGAAAAACTCTGCACGCGTATAGAAAAAAATCTGAAAGGCTATATTCTAGAAATGGGATCATTTGAATTTTAGTTGAAAACACCAGATGAGTAGTCCCAACTTCACGCTCCTAAAATGAAGACTCCCTTTCCCTGCACCCTCATAATACAGGATGTTATTACTCTTTTTTTTATACCTCATCCAGGATATACTTAGAGAGGGAGGAGGCAGGAGAGGAGGAAAAGCTGGGGAGACAGGCAGAGAAAGAGAGAAAATTAATGAGAGAGAGGAACATGGATCGTTGCTTCCTGTAAGTACCTGTCTGGGGATCACATCCTTTTGGTGTAAGAAATGACAAAATGAGCCACACTGGGCCAGGGATGGTATTCTTTTTCATCTCTGTGTACCTCGCAGGCAAGAATTATATTTCTGTGACTCGACTGGCACTTCTTTGACTATTGGTAAGGTTTAAAAATCTTTTGTAAAGTGTAACTCCAGGAATTTCTACATCTGTGAATTGTAGGCTGATAAGCTAGGTCCATCTCTCTATCATTCATTCAGTCTTTTTCTCATTTATTCCTAAGAGGTCTTTATGTATAAAGAGGTCTTTATAATCCTCTGACTGTTATGCACGCAGTAAATACTCTTCCCCACTTCATCACCTATCAACTTTACTTTTACGTTCAAGTAATTTGAATGTCCTACAGAGTCATATCTGTCCACCTTTCTTATTTCTGTGTCATCATCTGAGGTGACACGCACATGGTGAATAACACAGGGAAGCTGCCCCCTTACCCAACGAGACCAGGTTCCAGTAGGTCTCCATCATCACGTCCCTGTACAGGTCCTTCTGCACAGGCTCCAGCTGTTGCCACTCCTCCTGGGTGAAGTCCACGATCACATCCCTGAACGTCACCGACCCCTGTAAGAGGAAGTGCACACCAGTCACCACAGGGCCCTCCTCACAGAACTTGGGTATGTGGACAGAAGGGCAGAGAGGATCACAAAGGCACACAAGATGCGCCTCACAAGGTGTTGACAAGGTTTGGAGTTCTGAAGGGCCTGATCACTCAGTGTCCTTGGTGCCTAAGTACACTGGATGGTCCTCAGAGGGACAAATAAACCATGGGGCTGCTCACCAGAAACAGAAACAATCCACTTACATAATGGGCAAAGGGCCTGAATAGACACTTCTCCAAAGAGGACATGAACATGACCAACAAACCTATGAAAAAATACTTAACATCACTAATCACAAGAGGGCTACAACTTAAAACCCCATTGAGATATTATCTCACACCTGTCAGATGGAAGCCCCCATAGCAGAACAGCAACTAGTCAACAGCATCATGACAGCTCAGAGCAAGGCAGCTGTAGGGAACTTCCTGGAGCTGGAAAGTGTGGTCTGTGGTTGAGCTGTTAGGTGGATATTCCAGGTAGGGGCAGGTGGGTCAAGATCTGAGGCCATGACCCTGTGCAGGAACTGAATGCAGCTCCGAAGTGCGCTGGACAAGAGGACATGATGACCACAATGTCATCAGCACAGCAATAGACACCTGTCACTCACTAGGTGGTTCCTCAGAGCCAGGTTTTAGTCTAAGCTGTGTTATGGTTCCAGTTTTGTGTTGAGTCCCTGTGTTGAAGTGCCAACCCTCAGCACCTCAGGATGGGACCTGATTGGGAACAGGGCCACTGCAGGTGTATTGAGTTAAGATGAGGTCACTCTGGAGAAGGGCGGCCCCTAAGGCCATAGGACTGATGTCCTTATAAAAAGGACAGTGACATGCATGCAGAGACACATCACATGAGGTCGGAGTTATGGTGCCAGGAGGCCCTGGACCAGCAGAAGCTGGGAGTGATGCTGGGAATAGGCCCTTCCCTGGTCCCTTCAGAGGGGGCAGTGCCCTGCTGAGGCCTGAACTCCAACTTCCACACCCCAGAACTGTGGGAAAGCTGATTCCTGTTGTTCAAGCCTCCCTGTCTCTGGTGCTTTGTGAGGGCAGCCGTGCACTTGAGCAGAGTCTCATACTTGTCGTGGACCATGAACCACGGCTCACCTTCCCCGGGAGGAGGCCTCACCTGTGAGCCAATCCCTCTGTGCTCCAAGTGCCCAGCAGGGACTCTAGGCTCACCTTGGCCTCTTCTGTCTTGGGACCACAACCACGTGATGAAGGAGAATACCAGAAAGTCAGTGGTTCATAGTCTGGGCTTGGGAGCCTGCGATGAACTTCTGCCTCTGTCCCCAACCCCCTCACCTGTGTTTCCTCAGACAACTGTCTTAAATGTTCTGAGCCCCTTAGTCCAGGGGACCTCCTAGTAACAACACCTCCCTCTGTAGCTGCTGTGAGGTTAAATGAGGTCACACATCTGTGATTTTAGTGTGGAGTGGCTGCAGAAGATCTCGGAAATGTCAATTACTGCTCTTTTCATTTAATTAATAGGACGTTCCATATATCTTTTCTATATGCTCCTTATCGTTAATACTTACTTTATATTATTTTTTTATCCTTTCCCCATTTTTCCTTTGGTAGGAAAAAGGGAAAAATTTCTTTCTTTTGGAATCCTTTTCTGTATATTTACTGATTTGAGGGAAACAGGGAGAGAGTAAAATATCGATGTGAGAGAGAACCATCAATCAACTGCCTCCTCAACACGTCCTGACTGGGGATCAAAGCTACAACCTTTTGGTTCACAGGACAATATTCCAACCACCTGCATTAGACAGCCAGGGCAATAATTTCTTTTTTTTTAACCACTTAATTAGATATGATTGGTATACTAAATGCTGCATGTTATACAGGTATACAATTTGACAAATCTGGAAGGATTTCACTGGCCAAAAAGTCTGTTACATTTTTTCTGTATACTGGATCTAATAGTGCTTAGTTGTCTTTATCTTCATTGGGAACAATTTTGTTAGATTTATTGTGACAGCTGTCATATCAGCGTGCATTATCAGCATGCATTTCATAAAAAACTAATGAAAATTAGTGAATTTTTGTGCAGCCATCTAATAATGAAGGTGGAAGAAAATATGCAACACTTCTGGTATATTTTGTTTTATTATTATGAGATGAATAAATGAAACTGAAATGTAAAAGATTCGTGCAGTATATGGAGAACCTGCTATGACTGATCAAATGTGTCATAAGTGGTTGGCTAAGTGTCTTGGTACTACTGACATTTTGGCAAAATAATTCTTTGCTGTGGGGCTGTCTTATGCATTGGAAGGTGTTCAGCAGCACCCCTGGCCTCTACCCACTAGAAGCCAATAGTGCGAGATAGCCAACGTACTCAAAGTATCCAAACCAATAAAGTTACTGGTGAAAATGAAAATGTGTCTTTTACTTTATTACCTCCCAAAGTTTCCTCTAGCCCCCCCTTGATTGTGGTACTTATTTCATTTTAATGTTTTACAGATATCTCTTGTATCTTTCCTAAGTCTTCCTACCTGAATGAAAGGACTCAATGACTTTTTAACCAAGCAGACTGTATATACCAAGCCCAGGCTGGGACAGGTTGCAAACCAGAAGGTCCTGGGCATCTGGAAGCCCACAGTGTGCATCGATGGTGTGGAGGTGAGAACTGGGCCTGCCTCAGAAAGGTGGGGAGATTCCCCTAGAAATGGGGCTTCTGCCCTGGCTACTGCGACTCAGTGGATTGAACGCCAGCCTGAGAACCAAAGGGTTACCGGTTCAATTCCCAGTCAGGGCACGTGCCTTGATGGCAGGCCAGATTGTGCCCCTACTGAAGGGCATGAGAGAGGCAACCACACATTGATGTTTCTCTCCCTTTACTTCTCTCTCCCTTCCCCTCTCTCTAAAAATAAATAAATAAAATTTTTTAATTACAAAAGAGAAAAGAAATGGGGCTACCCTACACATGCACCAAAGCCCTCTGTGTGCTCTGTAGACACGTGTTCCGGGGCTCCATCTGTTTTGGATTCTTGTCTAATGCCACGAGCCACTTCCACAAGGAAAAACCTCACCCAGTCCCATACAGCTGAAATTGGGCTCTATTTTTTTAATTCTCTCCCTGGGGTATATTTATTGATTTTACAGTATGAGGAAGGCAGGATCAGAGAGAGAGAGAGAGAGAGAATGATCTGTGTGCCTCATGCATGGGCCCCAACCCAGAACATTTTGGTGTAAGGGAAGATGCTATAACCAACTGAGTCTCAAGCCAGGTCAGGCTCTACTTTTAGAAAAATCAGAATGTAATTACACTAAAAAAAGAGTAAGAAAAAGAAATCGTACCCCTAAACCCCAACCACACAAAAATGACAACCATGAAGAAATTCTAAACAATGTTGGTAAAGGAGGAAACCAAGGCAATGATCACAGAGAAGGTAACAGTGGAGACATCATAGTCCGGCCACGTTGGAAAACAGTCAGACCGTTCCCTAAGTGGTCAAATATCCTGTTCTCAAAGGATCCTTTAATTTCAACTCCTACACCCAGAGGAATAAGAACCTCAAACAAAAACTGTACATGAATGTTCACAGCAGCATTGCTAGTAAAAACCAAAATGTGGAAACAACCCAAATGTACACCACCTGATAAATGTGTATGTACACACAGGGTCTGCCTGTACAGAGGAATAGTATATAGCCATGAAAAGAGACACCTGCTACAACAGAGAGGAACAGCGAAAACATGATGCTCAGGGAAAACAGCCAGATACAAAACCCACATGTTCTGGGATTCCATTGATAAGAAATGTCCAGCCCTGACTGAGTGCTTCAGCTGGCTGGAACTTTGTACAACCAAAGATTGAGGGTGTGGTCCAAAGTTTGGGCACATATGGAAGGCAACTGATCGATGTTTCTCTCCCTTTCTTTCTCCTCCATTCTCTTCTCTCTAAAAATAAACAAAATCTTTAAAAAATTAAAACCTTCAAGCATACTAAGATTCCCGAGGACCAGCAAAGCACAGAATAATTTGCCTGCGCACATAAATGGCAAATAAACATTTCTACAAAACAAACCTCACTAATGCCACAAATGTAACTACTCAGAAAGTCATCGCATGTCATCAGCTGTCACCTATGACAAGGATAGTTTATACCACTTGTTATTAATATTCAATGAGCACCCAACAAACTGCAATGTGAAATACTGGCAGCCCCTGCTGCACAGTGGATTGAGAATAAACTGTCCTGACTCCGTAACTATAAATAGTTCTGAAAGGCCTGAAAAATACCCACCTCAAGGTTCCTATACAAGGAACTGCCAGCAAAGAAATCATAAAGCCCAGGCTGATGTGGCTCAGTGGACTGAGCCCTGGCCTGTGAACCAAAAATTCTCCTGTTTGATTTGCAGTCAGGACACACGCTTGGGTTGCAGACCAGGTCCCTACTAGGTGTGTGCAAGATGCAGCCGCACATTGGTGTTTCTCTCCCTCTCTTCCTCCCTTTCTTTGCTTCTCTAAAAATAAATAAAATGTTTTTTAAAAATCTATTAAAATTAAAAAAACATACAAAAGGTAGGGCAAAGATTTATACACAGCTTGGCCAGGTGGCTCGGTTGGAGCATTGTCCAGTACATCAAATGTTGTGGGTTTGATCCAGAGTTAGGAAGTGTGCGGGAGGCAACTGATTGATGTGTTTCTCTCACATCTATGATTTTAACTCTCTTCTTCTCTCCCTAAAACTCAATGAACACTTCATCTGGTGATGATTAAAATAAATTTACTCCCAGATTTGTATATATGTATATATATATAGTATTGATCTGAGACAGAGAGAGAAAGAGATGTTGTTCCACATATTGTTAAATTCATTGCTTCTCTGACTATGGACCCTGGCTATGGATCAAACTCATAACCTTGGCATACCACGATGATCCTCTCACAAACTTAGCTACTATATCTGTATGTTTTTATTATACAGTATTTCTTCTATAGAATGAAATCTAGCAAAAAATACCACAAATAGCCACCCACTGAAACATCATAAAACATGGCCACGACCAGAGACATTCATGGGTCCTCACCACAGGCGTCTTCTACCCATTGCTATCCAGTCCCCTGAGCAGTTAGAGCTGCCTGCCCACTTCTGAAGGTCCCTCACCAAGCACATCTTGCCCCGGGCCTCTGTCACATTTTATCTAATGTAGTTAAGTCACTACTTCCCAGGTGCTCACTGGTGTCTCCTGAGAGCCCCCAGGGTAGGACAGGTCACTCCCAAGCTATTCTGTTCCCTGTGGTAGAAAAACACCAGTGTCGAGACAGGGCTCTCTCAGCTCAGGGTAGACACAACCCCAGGAGACCTGTACATGGGCCTGGCCCCTGAGGGGTTTGGAGTTTCAGAGGGTCATCACTGTCCAGAAGCCTGACCCTAAGGAAGGAGTTTCAGAAGGGTGACATGACTCACCAGGGCTTTAGTGGTCAGCGGCTGGGTGGCCATCCTTCCAGTGCCCATGGTGACCAGTGAATGGGCGGGCTATGCACAGGGGTAGAAAGAGAAAGGCACAGTGAGAGACCAGGTCAAGTGCAGACAGAACACACAGACACCCACTAGAAGCCAATCAGACAGGGACACGTACACACATTGTTAATGCATGCGTGAGGCCTATGCATCCAAGGCACTGGACAAACGTCACTGATTTAATCTTCCTCACACCCTACAAAGTGGGAGCTATTTCCACTCACCCCATTTTACTAATGAAGAAACCAAAGCCCACAAAGATAAGAAATGCACCCAGGAAGGTGAGGGTGGGATTAGGGTTGAGCTGAGTATGTCAGGGTCTATGGGCTTCCTGCACACGTCACACCCACACATTGACACTCCAACACACACATGTACACACAGCCACTCCCACAGCCTGGAGGGAGGAACAGGACTCCCTGCCTCGGCCCTGGGTCTGACTGCGAGGCTCACTGATCAGTCACATCCAGGGAGCCTGGAGCCGTGACTGTACTGGTGGGAGCATCATCCTGAACACAAAAGGTCGGGGTCAATCCCTGGTTGTGGCCTGCGTCTAGGTTGCAGGTTTTATCCCCTGATACCAGGTTGGGGTGCCAGTGGAAGGCAACTGATTAATACTTCCCTCTGTCTATCTCCCTCTCTAAAAATCAATGAATACATAAATATATAAAAAATGTTTACTGTAGCACTGTTCCTACAAACAAACACGAACCTACCAGCGAACCAACCGAACCTACATAGATGGATAAATGCCAGGTATCCACCCTCAAATTCCAGGTGGCCTCCCAGAAGCAGGAGTTATATTATACCTCTGTGTGCAGTGACTTCATGATTTCTTACACAGAATTTTTATAAATGTATTGTTTGTGGACTTGCAGTTCCCGTCTCCTATCCCTGAACCACAAGGGCAACAACATGGGTTCCTATTGCAGGGCCAGGAAACCCTCACAGCCGACTTACCCAGGAGGCACAGTGGGCCCGGGGCCCCTGACACTTGTGGGAGCCTTTGATAATGTCATCTTTTTAATATTATAAGAGAAAATGTGAATCTTATCGAGTGTGGACTATTTTTGTCCTTACAGCAATGCAATCACAACTCTAATTTTTACTACATTTAAAAGGATGCCATGAAGGCACAGTGGCCCTGGAAGTGGCATGAGCATGGGGCTGGTGACCTCTGACCCCAGAGTGACATAAAATCTGTATCTGCAGAGCCAGGTGTGTGGCAGCTGCTCTGTAACTCCTCCTCTATCCAAGGTTTCTGGCGTTTCCTTCTGTCCATTGTTTCTGAGGGGAAACAAAGATTTGCCATCTGGGGTGGTTAGTGTGGGAGATCTGAAATGCAGAACCTGGGTGTGATTCACTTAAAGTCTCTGAGCCTCAGTTTCCCCACCTGCAAAATGGGGATGGTGAGGGTCCCTACCTCAGAGTTACTGGCAGGCTATGAAATACCCAGAACCATACCCTGAGCATGCAGCACACCCTCCCTGAACAAACCCACCCAGGTCAGCATGGGGCAGGGTCTCTGACCCTCTTCCTTAGCCCCGCACCTGCCTACCACACACGTCCTACCCTCCCAGAGCCAGGGGAGGCTCTCAGGGCAGGAAGGAGATGACTCTCGGCCCGCAGGCAGGCAGCTCCTCCAGGCCGCCTGTCCAGGACGGCCGTCTTCCCCACGCTCTCGGGAGGGCACCCCCGACGCACCCACTCACACACGTCATCCACGCCCAGAGACAGAGGTGCAGGTGCACACAGACAGGGGAAGGCTCGGGCAGGAGAGACGCACCCCACACGCACAGACACACTCACACCCAGACACACAGGAAGAGACCAGACCCAGGTGGACACCTGGATGGCGCCCTCACGCAGGGACACCGCAGATGGAAACAAAGGCAGACACGCGCACAGACTTGGACATGGACGGACCCCGGAGAGACCAAGGCAGGCAGCCGACACACACACAAGCGAGACACTGGAGGCCACCCAGACACATGCGGGGACAAACACAGAGACGCAGTGTCGGCGCAGCACACCCTCACAGACACTCACGCCCCTGCCAGGTCAGCTTCCGGTCTCACTGGGATGCCTCGGGTCAGCGAGGGGCCGCCACCAGACACCCCGATCACAATGCGCCTGCGCGGACCGTACAACTACACTTCCCAGAAGCCCTCGCGCCACCCTCCGGTAAAGTCACGCCTTCTTCGACTGGAATCTGAAAGGCAGCCTTGACTTCCCGGCGGAGAAGCGCCCGGGGCACCTGGGTCAAGAAATCACGTGGGGGATCGGGCGCACCGGGGTGAAGGAAACCCAGCAGAGAGGGGTTCGCAGCGGAGTAGAGGAAGGCTACAGAGCACGTTGGGGGCCAGGCAGGAGTGAGGTGTGCGAGGGACCGAGGACCAGTGAGCAGGGGAGACGGAAAGAGAGGTGCAGGGAAATGGGGATCTGGACGAGGAGCGGAGGGAGGGGGGAGGAGGAGGGAAATCGCAGAAAAGGCGGTGCGTGGGTGGAGGCTGGAAAAGACGCTGTAGCCCCTCCACAGACATCCTGCGTCCACCCAGAAGGATTGTAACCAGAAAAGAAGTACCGGCCCTTCCCCTTAAGTGCCAGCTTTTTCAGGGTAAGTTACTGTTACGGAACCACAGGGGCGGTTCACCCGCCCGCCGCCTCAGTAGGCACGCTCTAGAGGCAGAGGCTGGTGAGAAAGGAAAGAGGGTTTTCATTCAGATGCTCAAAGCCCAACCCCTCCCGAAACCCGAGGGAAAACCCAGCCGTCCTTAGCCAGACCAGAGTAGAAGGCAGCTTCCAGAGCTCCTGTTCCCATTCAAAGTGCCTTTTGGAAATAGCGGGTGCCGCTGAACTGTCACCCAGGCAGCTCAGCTCGCTTCCAGCCACTGCCAGGTTTCAGGTTCTCTCTTAGAACCCGAAGGCCCTGACGTCAGCCAGGCCACTTCCAGGGCCACAAGATCCTGCCAACTCACCAGGTAGTACGTTCTCCGGGTGAGCAAGAGAACGGCCCCTCCTTAGCCTGCGTTTGTATTAGTTTGCGGTGTGGAACGGGCTGAATGGCATTTACTTCCCAAGTTTCCATTATGCTGGTGTCGGGGTGGTCTACCCAACACCGATCACTTGTGCACACACACACACACACACACACACACCCGTAGTTTGACAGGCTAGTCTTCAGTCCTGCACCTCTCTGGTGTAGAAGACATCTGACTTATGTGTGCCTGTGTTCCTGGGTCCAACCCACAATAAGGTATCAGTAGGGGACAGGACGGCTTTTCCCCTATCCAATCATCTTGTTAGCATTATGCCCACCCAGTGCAATACTTCCTTCTGCTGCCCTCCTGACCAGGGCAGGTATTCTTCATCCAGGATAGAATCCTCCCAAGTTCATGCAGGAGCTCAGTTACTAAGGAAATGTGGTCCACCTGCCGCCTTGCCATCGCCCAGCACACGGAGATCTACTCAGGTGGCCCCTCCTGTTTCTGGCCTTGCCTTCTGCCAGTGGTCTGGCCTGTGATCTGTACCATTTAGATGTACAAAGGCATTTAGTCCAGCAAACAAACTCCCTTGCAGATGCGGATAGTGATACACACAAGGGAGGTCACAGGAGGGGGAAGTAGGGGCCCTGGCGTGGGAAAGCCTGGGGCTCTTTTACATCATCAACTACAAAGCCAAGTGTAAAAGCATTTGCTGAATGTTCCCATGACTAGAAAAAATGCAAACTGCAGCCGCCTTAGGTGTTGATTGACTTCTTTTTCATTCTTTCTTTTTTAATCCTCACCGTAATATCTGTAATGATTTTAGAGGAAGGGAGAGAAATCGATATGAGAAAATTGATCTGTTGTGACCCCCAGCCTTTTGGTGCATGAGACTATGCTCCATCTGAGTGAGCCACCAGGCCAGGGCAGAACCCCCTTTCAGATAGACCAGTACATTTACACAATGGAATACTATGCATCAGAAAGAAAGAAGGAGCTCCTACCCTTGGAGACAGCATGGATGGCACTGGAGGGTATGATGCTAAGTGAAATAGGCTTGGCAGTGAAAGACAAACACCATATGATCTCACCTGGAAGTGGAACCTAATCAACAAAATAAAACAGGAGACAGGGCAATAAAGGACAAACTGAGGGGAGGAGGGAAGGAGATAACCAGGGAAATAAGGGAAAGGGTCAAGTCAAGGAACTTGTATAAAGGAACCATGGAGGAAGACTATGGGGGCGGGGGGTGGGGGAAGAAGGTTGGGGGTCAAGTTGGGCAGGGGAGAGAAATGGGTGGAAATGAGGACAACTGTAATTGAACAATTCAGAAAACAAAAGCTTTGAGCCAGGCTGACTGAGCTGTCCCTGTTACTGGGCCCTCTCCCCATAGACCAGTCCCCCTGCTGAACTTCCTCAAAAAACCTGTCCCTGGTGCCAGTTCACACCAGTGGAGGTCTGCCTGATTAAATCTTAGGCAGAACACACAGCTCTGTCTACCTCTGACTTCTTCAAAGAACCGATCCACCTGGGAAAGAGCCCTGCTGTCTGGATACAAAAAGTTCTCCAGGCCATAGAGTGTGAATGTAAGCAGACGAGGGCCAAAACCGCAGTCATTTTAAAGAGACAGCTTTGTCTTTTAGGATGACAACTTGACTGAAATTATTAACACAGAGTTTCAAAAAATATATCTGTGGGGAATAAGTACCCCCTAAAATGAAAAACAAAATACAGACATGCAAGGATTCCGGATTATGATGTCCTTGGCTTGGGGAAAATTGCTGTGAGTTATTGGCAAGGTTCTAGTATTTACGTTGGGGAGTGGGGTCAAACAAGGATATTGTGTAATTGTCATACAACATGGCTATATTTTATGCTAACTTTAATTATAGAAACTTGAAGTCATATTTGAGTGGCGCTTTGTTGTTTTGTTTTTTCAGAGTAACAGGAAGCCTTGCGATCTAAAATGTCTTAAAATTCCTTGCTTTCTCATATGATCCATTATGGGTATTTGTATTCCGTGTGTTATTTTGATATCATCTTAATGTGTGAAGAGACTTGCCAATCGCCTCTTGTTAGGTTTGGCTTTGTATTATGCAGGTTTTGGATGGTGCAAGGTCTTTAAGAATGAGCAAGCCCCTGGCATAAAAATTTAGCCACCCTACAATACAATTGATGACCGAATGGATGGGTATGTTTGTTCTTCCCAAAGATCTGTTCACCAGGGAAGCCACAGCTGCCCCCATTACTGAACACAGAGACATTTATAAAACATCCACAATGTGCTGAATATTGCAAGAGACACTTGAGGCGTGTCCCCTCCCCTAAGAGGATAATTTCCACTCCTCTCTAAGGGGCAGGAAGCCTTCAGTGTCTGGTTTGAGCGTATGATTACTTAGACCCACCGAACTCTGGCTCTGCCCTGGTGTTCAAAAGGAGTTATTGGCCCAGTGGGTTTTGATATTCCAAATTCTCTAAAGAAATGGAAACTTACTATGTTAAAAATCCTTTTTCCCTTATTAGAGTGTTTCCCTTGCTTTCTGTAACTTGGTCTCCATGACGGTGGGGATTTTTATTTTTAATTTTTAAAAATTATTCTTGCTATTACAGTTGTCCCAATTATTTCCCGTTTGGCCCCCTCCTTACAGAGCACCCCCGCTCCACACCCAGTCCCCACACTGTTGTTCACGTCCATGGGTGATGGGGGAATCATCCATCACCCGACTGCTGAGTCTCCACCTCTTAGGAGTATTCTCAGCACGTAACAGATATATGTTTTAAGGTTTTATTTATTTTAGAGAGGGGGTAAAGGAGAGAAAAGCAGCATCGACTTGTGAGAGAAACATCCATTGGTTGCCTCTTACACACCTCCAGCTGGGGCCCTGGCCCACGACCCAGGCATGTGCCCAGAACAGGAATCAAACTGGTGATATTTCAGTTTGCAGGCCGACGCTCAATCCACTGAGCCGCACCAGCCAGGGTAACCACATGTTCTATGACATTTTTCCTGACGGATTACATTGAAAGTAAACTGAGTGAGCTCAGTCAAGTCCACCTGTTGTCTGGGTGCAGCCCATGGTCAGCCCAGCTGAGTCACCCACGGTCAGGGAATCCCTGTTGGGTGAGACCCTGCAGGGAGGCCCCGCCATGGGCGGGGGACCTGTTGTCTCCTCCGCTAGGCCATAGCGGTGGCCCAGAAGGCAGGACTGTGTGGCACCAAGTAGACTCCTGTAAGGTTCACCCCCACAAGGAGAAGAATCTACTTCACTTCTTAACATTTTTATTTGACAGAGAGTAAGCGATTTTTTTGTTCCACTCATGGAAGAATTCATTGTTTTTTTTTCTCATGAACCCTGACAAGAGAACGAATTGTCCATCTTGGCAGATCCAGGCAATGCTTCACCAGCTGAGCCACCAGCAGGGCCCAGTTTCAGGCCAGGTGGGTAAGCACACTGTGCTGTCTGTCTGTCCCACTGGAGTCGATCAGCAACTCTACAGAAGTGGGAGTCATCTATTGAACACCACAGGCTCACACCTTTTTGGTGATGCTCAGGAGGACGCAAGGTGACAGGGCCCAGGGCGGGGGCTTCAGGGGCCTCAGTCAGCAGCCGTTCACGATGTCCACAGAAGCATCTCAAAGAATTAACCACCTATACAAAAGTAGTAACTAATTCCCCAATTATTAATAAGTGCTTTATGTATTACTTTATTGTAAATAGAGCACCATTCTTGCATCACTTTCTATACATTATTGTTAAAAATCACTATCAGTAATGAAATATTAAGTAAAATACGACTAAGGCTGTGGGTGAGGCATAGACTGGGTAATGCCCCCGCAGGACTAAGGCACTTTATTTTCACCAGAATTGCAGCCTGCAGGGGGTGGGTTGGGCACATTCTGTGATGTAAGCGAGGATTTTCTGCTGTAACTGAAACCGTCCTGTACCGAGGGGGTCCACGAAGCTGGGTTTCTGCAGGGGGCACCTCTTCCCTAATCTCCTTGCTGAGGGCCTGGGCCCTGCCACCTGGTCTGACCATTCCCACGCCAGGAATGTGGGGCGGAGGTGGGGCGGGTTTGCTGCGTTCCGGGGTTCCTGAGGAGTATCTGTATCCCCTTCTGCCGAGCGTTGAAATCATTTTCACAGGACAACCTGTACCTGTACCTTCTGCACCTGATGAGTGTTTAAAATGACACTAGTCTCCCTTAAAGTTTTATTATTTTTTTAAATTAACAGACCACTATGAGAAACTATGGCATCTGGTGCAATTATTGCTACTACTGAATGCTGAGAAAAAATTTTCTTCCTTACATGAACTACCTGGAACCTTCTACTGTTGCAGGGAAACTGGGGCCTGGGTGTGGGGCAAACGAGGACACCCACAGATGTGACAACCTGACATCTGGACTAGATCCCGTTGTCTGACATCACAGAGTGATAATGTCCCCATGGACCCCACCTCCCTTCCCCTTCTCCTCCTCTAACTACCAAGGAGGTGGAGACCAGAGACACTGTGTTGTCCAAGCTGCTACAACAGTTTACAGGATCGGGGTCTGCAGCCACAGACCCCCTGGCCACACTGCCAGATACTAGACTTGTAGCGCGCTTGCTTTCCACACACACCTGCCAAAGCCACGAGAGCAGCTCATGTGGCGTGGCCTGTCCCCAGTGGCCACATTCCTTAGACACGTCAGGGTAGGGCTTCTCTTGAGTCCTACCTGTCAGCCCCAGTGTCATTTCTGGCACTGGCCCACGGGCTCAGGATGCACTCAGCAGTTGTGGATGTTGAGAACCGAGGACACCGTCCCCCACTAGAGCTGTATCCTGTTTTGGTGCTGTGTGAGGCTGAAGTTCCTGATGAAGTGTTTTCCACACTGGCCACTCTCGTAAGGCTCCTCTCCCATGTGGGCCCTCCAGTGGAGGGTGAGTGAGAAATCCTGACAAAGACCTTGCTGCACTGGCTGCAACGGCAGGGCTTCTGGCTGCTGTGGCTGCAGGGACGAGCTCTTCTGGGAGATGGGAACTCCTAGGGCTTCTCCCCAGTGTGCACACACCTGTGCCGCAACAGTGGCGTTCTCACCCAAGTCACCACCCATTGTCTGAGTTTTAAGGCTTCTACGTGCGGTGCACTTGCTGGTGCTTCACGAGATGGAGCTGTGACTGATGGCCTTGCCCCAGTCCGTGCAGGTACATGGCTTCTCAGTGTGCCAGACGGTGAGGCACAACTGCTGGGCGAACTGCGTCCCGCATGCAGGAAGGGCTTCTCCCTGCGTGGCTTATTTGGTGCTTCTTCAGGCACAAGTCATAGTCATAAGCAGGCCGCACTCCACACATTCAAAGGGCTTTTTCTCTGTGCGGAGTCAGGAGGGAGGACGTGTGCTGAATGTGTGTATATCCACCTCTCAGGAGCCAGCCAGTGGCTTTGGTGTTCGAATGCCTTCCATTTGCCACATTCAGGGTCTAACACCTGGGACATGTCCAACCGCCTGCGACGGCCCTGCTCAGTCTCCCTGAGCCCCCCATTCCTTCACAGGCACCACCCAGGGAAGCATTCCTCCTGGACATTTCCACTGCTCCACCAAAGGATGGCGGGTCTTCCTAAACACCCTCTTGGTGGCGTGATTCTTCTCTACCAGGACTAGTCTCCAAGTATGAGGGGAGGGGGAAGGAGATGATGACACCCATGCAGTTAACAAGCTGGGAGGGAGGACCTTCCGAAGACACCAGAAGGCGCAGCCTGAGAGCAGGGACATTTGTCTTCTGTATAGTAACTGGGAATGTCACCTTTCCAGAGTGCCTGAGAGATGAGAACCCGTAAGGACACATTTCCTTCCAGGCAGCTCTTTCAAAGAAACTTGGGCCAAAAAACACTTTCCTGATAAAATTTCATGCCATGGGGGATGTTTATTGGGTAAACGAGCATCCAAGGATACAGATGATGAGACATCGCTGAATCTCCAGATGCTGCTGGTGGGAGTATGTGTGTGGTAGGGGGATGGACAGATGTAATTTCCCGCTTGTATTTCTCCCTGGTCATGGGAGACAAGCAAACCCCAAGGAAAACTGTTTTGACAATAGGAGGTGACCGTTCCCAATCCAGGGCCGCGAGGACCAGGTGGACTAGGGCAGGTTGCTGGGTTCCGGGGGTTCCTGTGGGGTACTCGTGCTCCCTCCCCCCAATCGCTGACACTCCTTTGGACAAGACAACCAGTCCCAGCATCTTTTGCACCTGCCCACGGTTTAAAATGACATAGGTCTCAGTTAATTAAAAGTTTTATTTGCCAAGAATTTTTAGTAGACCACTAAGAGAAACTTTCATATATGAAGCAACTACTGTTATTTCGTAGTCCCTGCCCCCCAAATTTCCTTCCCATGAACCACCTGGTATCTTCTACAGCTCGAGTGGGAGGCACTCCAGCTGGTGTTGCAGGGAAACGGGGGGCTGGGTGTGGGGAAAACACACACACAGATGGGGACAACCCTGTGGACTAAACCGAATCATGTGTCAAAGTGACAATGTCCCCAAGAAGCCCACCTGCCCGATCCTTCCTCCTCCAATTCTTCCACTTTCTACTACTCCTCCATCTCTCCTATCGAGGAGATGGAAACCCTGAGACACTAAATGCCTTGTCCAAGCTCATAGGACAGTTCACTCCAGCTCAGGCTGCAGCCACGGTGCCCCTGGCCACGCTCCCAGATACTAGACCTGTAGGGCGGCTTACTTTCCATATGGCCACGCAGATACTGTGGAAGTAAACAGCATGGCGTGGCCTGTCCCCAAAGCCCACGTTTCTGTGACCTGTCTGGGCAGGACTTCTCTTGTGTCCTACCCATGGGCCTCCAAATGTAAGTCTCACAGTTGCCCATGGCCTCAGGACCTTCCAGTAGCGCGTGGATTCTGAGAATTCCTGCCTCTCTACTAAGTGTGCATCCTCTGGTGCAGCGTGAGGTCGAAGTTCTTGTTGAAGGTTTCCCCACACTGCCATATGCATAGGATTCTCAGGTGGATGGGGAGGACGATGTTCCTGACCTCGGCCTTGCCACACTGCGTCCCTAACGTGTGGTCGTTCTGGTGCTCCTGCAGGGAAGAGCGTGCCATGAAGCTCTTCTGGCAGATGGAACACTGACAGCACTACTCGCCGGTGTGCACACGCCTGTGCTTCTTGAAAGACGAGGACTGCCTGAAGGCCTTGCCACACTGGCCACATGTGTAAGGCTTCTCCCCGGTGTGTGTCCTGTGATGCATTTTGAGGCTGCTCTTCTGGCTGAAGGCCTTGCCACAGTCCTGGCACACGTACGGCTTCTCCCCGGTGTGCGTCCTCTGGTGTAGGCTGAGGTTCCAATTCTTGCTGAAGGCCTTCCCACAGACTCCGCAGGCATACCGCTTCTCCCTGCTGTGTGTCCTCTGGTGCACGATGAGGTCCTTGTTCCGGGTGAAGGCCTTTCCGCAGGCTCCGCACGCATATGGCTTCTCCCCCGTGTGTGTCCTTTGGTGCGCGATGAGACTCCTCTTCTGCCTGAAGGCCTTGCCACAGTCCCAGCATGCGTATGGCTTCTCCGTGGTGTGCGTCCTCTGGTGCTGCATGACGTGCACCTTCTGGCTGAAGGCCTTGCCGCATTCCCCGCACACATAAGGCTTCTCCCCAGTGTGTGTCCTCTGATGCACAATGAGGACCCTGTTCTCGCTGAAGGCCTTGCCGCACTCCCCGCACACATAAGGCTTCTCCCCAGTGTGTGTCCAGTGATGCACTACGAGGCTCTTGTTGTCCCTGAAGGCCTTGCCGCACACGCTGCACACATAAGGCTTCTCCCCGGTGTGCGTCCTCTGGTGCACAGTGAGGCCCCTGTTCTCCCTGAAGGCCTTGTTGCACACACCACACACGTAAGGCTTCTCCCCGGTGTGCGTCTTCTGATGCACTATGTAGCTCCTATAGTAGCTGAAGGCCTTGCCGCACTTCCCACACGCATAAGGCTTCTCCCCGGTGTGCGTCCTCTGATGCACTATGAGGCCCCTGCTTTCCCTGAAGGCCTTTCCACAATCCCAGCACTTGTACGGCTTCTCCCCGGTGTGCATTCTCTGATGCACTATGAGGCTACTGTTCCGCCTGAAGGCCTTGCCACAGTCCCCGCACACATACGGCTTCTCCCCGGTGTGCATTCTCTGATGCACTATGAGGCTCTTATTTTCCCTGAAGGCCTTGCCACACTCCTCGCACTTGTACGGCTTCTCCCCAGTGTGCACGCACTGGTGGAGGGTGACATATGACTGCCCAGAAGTGACCTGCTTCCCACACGTGGTGCAGGAGAAGGGCTTCTCCCTGCTGTGGATTTGTTGTTGCTCCTTCAGGGATGAGCTACAGCTGAAAGCCTTGCTGCAGTCCCTGCAATTGTTGGACATCTTCTCTGAGCTGGGTTTGGAGGGAAGACCAAGGCTTGAAGTACCTGAGTCCTTTCCACACATGGTGAATCGGTGTGTCCCCGGTCCTCTCGGTCCTTCAGATCCCAGTGGGGCTGGCACGAGGGTTTGGTGCACAAATGCCTTAAATTCTTGACATTCAGGGGCCAACACATGGGACTTGTCCAACGGCCCCAGACAGGTTCTTGGGCTGCCCTGTTCCCGTCCCAGCCAGACATTCTGTGACCCTGCTCCTTCACAGGCACAATCCGGGTCACCATTCCTCACAGGTCTCTCGGCCGCTACAGCAATGGATGGTCTGTCTTCACAATGGTTCTCTGGTGGGTCTGATTCTTTTGTGTCAGGTCTAGTCTCCAAGTCTGAGAGGAGGGGGAAGAGATGAGGACACACATGGAGTTAACCACCAGAGAGAGGATCTTCCCAAGGCACAGGCTGAGAGCAGGGGACAAACTGTCAGGGGACAGAGGGGAAAAAGAAGCAGTGAGCTGAGACAATATATTGTAGGGAGGTGAGCAGAGACCAAGAAAGGTCCCCTTGGGAATGGGTACAAAGGTGGCCAGGGAGCTCAGAGCTGGGCAGAAAGACCCTTGGAGAGAAAGAGGAGGAAAGCGGGCTTGGAGGAGCAAATCAAAGGCCCCCACAAATCCAGTGAGGGTTCACTGCATCTGGCTCCTCACTTCCGGGCCAGCTGTGCTTCTCAGACCATTGACTGTAATTAGAACAGTAAGCAGGAGCTGACTCTCACGTGGATGCGCTGATTGTTCTCACAGGCCGTCCCGGCTCCCCCCTTCCTGTGCTGCCTAGGAGTGTCCTGGCCCTGGCTGCTGACTTCTCACCTCCTCTGTGCACACTCGTCCTTCCCTGCTGACCACAGCCCCTAACCCCAACATTTAAAATGTGAAATCTTACACAAAAATCTACTTAATAAAGTAAAGATCCACCCACATGGAGCCCTCTCTCATTGTGGTATGAAATAAAGCGGGATTGGTAAGCAGTTATTCCCCTTCCCACATTTAAGCCCCTACTGGCCCCATAACGTCTGAGTTTGAGACCCCTACCCTGAGTATTGGGAGATTTGTGTTTCTCCTCCGTGCTGGCCCCTCCTGAATAAATGCCCCAGCTAAGACGCCCCCTCTGAGCTCTGCTGAGGAATAATCTGAGGCCTGCTGAGCACCAGTAAAAGGTTGCAGGTTCAATTCCCTGTTGGGGCACATGCCTGGTTGTGGGTCAGGTCCCCAGTTGGGGCCATGCAATTGGCAATCCATTGATGTTTCTCATATTCTAGAAATGGAGTCGTTTGAAATTTAGTTAAAAACCCCAAAATGTCTTCCAAACGAGTTGTCCCAATTTCACATTCCTAAAAGAAAGATTCCCTTTCCCTGCACCCTCATAATACAGGATGTTGTTACTCTTTTTTTATAACACATCCAGGATATACTCAGAAAGGGAGGAGGTGGGTGAGGAGACAGAGAAAGAGAGAACATTGATGAGAGAGAGGAACGTGGACTGCTGCTTCCCACAGTACCTGTCTGGGGATCACACTCACCACCTTTTGGTGTACAGAACGACACCCCAACCAAATGAGCCACACTGGGCCAGGGATGGTACTCTTTTTTATCTCTGTGTATGTCATGGGCAAGAACTGTATTTCTGTGACTCAGTTAGTACGCCTTTGACTATTAGTAAGGTTTATAAATCTTTTGTAAAGTGTAACTCCATCTGTGAATTGCACGCTGATAAGCTAGGTCCATCTCTCCATCATTCATTTGGCCTTTTTCTCATTTATTCCTAAGAGGTCTTTATGTATTTATTATCCTCCGACTGTTACGCATGCAGTAAATCCTTCCCCACCTCATCACCAATCAAGTTGTAGCTTCAAGTAATTTGACTGTCCTACTGAAAGATCTGTCCACCTTTTCTATTTCTGTGCCATCCTGAGGTGACAGGCCCACGGTGAGTAATGCAGGGAAGCTGCCCCCTTACCCAGCGAGACCAGGTTCCAGTAGGTCTCCATCATCACGTCCCTGTACAGGTCCTTCTGCGCAGGCTTCAGCTGCTGCCACTCCTCCTGGGTGAAGTCCACGATCACATCCCTGAACGTCACCGACCCCTGTAAGAGGAAGCGCACACCACTCACCACAGGGCCCTCCTCACAGAGGTCAAGACACTTGGCCAGAAGGGCCGAGAGGATCAGGAAGGCACACAGGATGCCCTGACGTGGTGTCAACAAGGTGCGGAGCTCTGAAGGGCTTGACTACCCAGAGTCCTCAGTGCCTAAGTACACTGGGTGGTCCTTGGATGGGCAAATAAACGAGGGGCTGCCACCAGAAACAGAAACAATCCACTTATACAATGGACAAAGGGCCTGAATAGACACTTCTCCAAAGAGGACTTACAGACAGCCCATAGACTGTGTGGTGGGTGCTCCCATGTGAATAAATGCTCAACATCACCAGTCATCAGAGAGCTGCAAATTAAACCCACAATGAAGATAGCATCTCACACCTGTCAGACAGAAGCCCCATAACGGGACTGCAATCTAGTGGATGCCATCGTGACAGGTCTGAGCAACGGCAGCTCCAGGGGGCACCTGGGAAGCTGGAAGGTGTGGTCTATGGTTGGGTCCTTGGGGGGACATTCCAGGTGGGGGCAGGTGGGTCAAAACCTGAAGCTCATATGGCAGACTGAGCACTGGGGACACCAATGCCACTACCCTGGGCATGAAATGAACACGGCTCAGCACGTGGTGGACGATGAGTGGACATGATGACAATGCATTACCTGGGCAGTAAGGATGCCTGTCATTCACAGGTGACTCTATGGAGCCAGGTATTAGTCTAAGCCGTGTTATGGTTTCAGTTTTGTGTCCCTGTGTTGAAGTGCCAACCCTCAGCACCTCAGGATGGGACCTGATTGGGAACAGGGCCACTGCAGGTGTACTGAGTTAAGATGAGGTCACCCTGGAGAAGGGCGGCCACTTAGGCCATAGGACTGATGTCCTTATAAAAAAGGAGAAGTTTGGATGCAGACACACGTCACGTGAGGAAGGGTTATGGTACCAGGAGGCCCTGGACCAGCAGAAGCTGGGAGTGATGCTGGGAATAGGCCCTTCCCTGGTCCCTTCAGAGGGGGCAGTGCCCTGCTGAGGCCTGAACTCCAACTTCCACACCCCAGAACTGTGGGAAAGCCGATTCCTGTTGTTCAAGCCTCCCTGTCTCTGGTGCTTTGTGAGGGCAGCCGTGCACTTGAGCAGAGTCTCATACTTGTCATGGACCATGAACCACGCTCACCTTCCCCGGGAGGAGGCCTCACCTGTGAGCCAATCCCTCTGTGCTCCAAGTGCCCAGCAGGGACTCTAGGCTCACCTTGGCCTCTTCTGTCTTGGGACCACAACCACGTGATGAAGGAGAATACCAGAAAGTCAGTGGTTCATAGTCTGGGCTTGGGAGCCTGCGGTGAAATTCTGCCTCTGTCCCCGACCCCCTCACCTGTGTTTCCTCAGACAACTGTCTTAAATGTTCTGAGCCCTTTAGTCCAGGGGACCTCCTAGTAACAACACCTCCCTCTGTAGCTGCTGTGAGGTTAAATGAGGTCACACATCTGTGATTTCAGTGTGGTGTGGCTGCAGAAGATCTCGGAAATGTCAATTACTGCTCTTTTCACTTAATTAATAGGACGTTCCATATATCTTTTCTATATGTTCCTTATCTTTAATACTCACTTTATATTATTATTATTATTATTTTATTTTTTGCCACATTCATCCTTTGTTAAGGAACAGGGAAAAATTCTTTCTTTTTTAATTCTTTTGTGTATGTTTATTGATTTCAGGGAGATAAAGAGAGAGACAGTGAAACACTGATGTGAGAAACATTAATCAACTGATTCCCGAACACGCCCTGAGCCAAGAATGGAACCTGCAACCTTTTACTGCACAGGAAGATGCTTTCAACATCGTACCACATGGCCAGGGCAATCATTTCTTTTTAAGAAACCACTTTACTAAGGTATGATTGGTATACTACAAGCTGCATACAGTAGAGGTATAAAATTTGATAAATTCTGAAGTACTGTATTAGCCAAAAAGTCCATTACATTTGTTCCATATGAGCTCTAGTAGTGCTTAGTTGTCTATCTTCATTCAAAATAAGAGTGTTAGATTATATGGTGACTGCTGTTATATCAGTGTGCGTTATCAGCATGCACTTTATAAAAACATTTCAAAATTAGTGAATTTTTGTGCAGCCATTTTAATAGTGAAGATAGAAGAAAATATGCAACATTTCTGGTGTGTTATGCTTATTGTTTCAAGAAAAGTAAAAATGCAACTGAAATGCAAAAGAAGATTTCTGCACTGTATGAAAAAGGTGTCGAGAGTGATCAAATGTATCAAAAGTGATTTGCGAAGTTCTTGGTACTATTCACATTCTGTCCAAATAATTCTTTGCTGTGGCGCTGTCTTACGTATTGGAGGATGTTTAGCAGCACCCCTGGCCTCTACCCATTAGAAGCCAATAGTGGGAGATAGCCAACACACCCCAAATATCCAAACCAATAAAGTTATTGGTGAGAATGAAAAATGTATCTTTTACTTTATTACCTCCCAAAGGTTCCCCCAGTCCTCTTTATTGTTGTGGTTATTTCACTTTAATTTTTTAAAATATAACTTGCTAAAATCTTCCCTAAGTGCCTGCCTGAATGAACGCACTCAATGAAACTTGTTACCCAGCAGGCTCCATGCACCCAGCCCGGGCTGGGACAGGCTGAAACCCGGAGCAGGTCCTAGGTGTCTGGAGTCCACACAGAACAGCAAGGGTGTGGAGTTGAGACACAGGACGCCGTCTCACAAGGGCCGGGAGATTCCCCTAGAAATGGGGCTTCCCTCCAAGTCCGCCAAAGCCCTCTGAGCGCCCTGTGGACATGTGTATGAGGCCACGCCCTCCATCTGTTTTGGGTTCTTGTCTAATGTCACAAACCACTTCCCCACAGAAAAACCTCACCCAGTTCCACAGATCAGAAATCAGGCTCCATTTTTATTTAAATCCTCACCCCAGGATATCTTTGTTGATTTTAAAGGGAGAGGAAGACAGGGTCAGGGAGAGAGACAGACAGACAGAGAGGTTATGATTTGTTTGCCTCATGCAGGTGCCATGACCAGGGATGGAATCCTCAACGTTTTGGTGTACAGGACAATGTTATCACCAACTGAGCACCAAACCAGGGCAGGCTCTACTTTTAGAAAAATCAGAATGTGATTACACTAAAAGAGATCAAGAAAAAGAAACTGAGCCCCTAAACCCCAACCACACAAAAATGACAACCATGAGGAAATTCTAAACGATGATGGTAAGGGAGGAAACCAAGGCAACGATCACAGAGAAGGTAACAGTGGAGAGACATCATAGTGCGGCCACGTCGAAAAACTGATCGTTCCCTAAGTGGTTAAATACACTGTTCTCAAAGGACCTGTTTATTTCCGCTCCTACACCCTAAAGAAATGAGAAGTTCAAAGACAGAACTGTACATCAACATGCACAGCCTCAATGCTAGTAACAACCAAAAAGTGGAAACAACCCAGTGTACACCACCACATAAACGCGGACACACAGGGTCTATCTGCACAGCGGAATAGCATACAGCCACGAAATCGGGGAGCATCAAAAACATGATGGTCAGGGGAAGCAGCCAGACACACAAACCATGTGTTGTGTGATTCCATTGATAAGAAATGTCTGGCTCTGACCAGGTGACTCAGCTGGTTGTAGTTTTGTATGTACAACCAAAGGTTCAGTGTGTGGTCCCCACTTGGGGCACATACAGGAGGCAACTGATTGTTCCCCTAACGCATTGATGTTTCTCTCCCTCTCTTTCCCCCTCATTCCTTTCTCTCTAAATACATGAAATATTTATTTTATTTATTAAATAAATAAAATCTTAAAAAAAAAAGCAAACTTCAAGAATAGTAAGATTCCTGAGGACCAGCAAAGCACGGGATAAATAATTTGCCCACCCATATAAATGGCAAATAAACATTTTCCACCGAAGAAGCCTCACTAATACCACACACGATGCTACTCAGAAAGACATCACATTCTATCAGTTGTCATCTACAATAAGGCTAATTTATTATTTTTTAAGATTTTATTTATTTTTAGAGAACGAGGAAGGGAGGGAGGGAGGCAGAGAAACATCAATGTGTGGTTGCCTCTCACACGCCCCCTACTGGGGACCTGGCCCACAACCCAGGCATATGCCCTGGCTGGGAATCAAACCAGCAAACCTGTGGTTCCCAGGCCGGCACTCAATCCACTGAATCACACCAGCCAGGGCTACTATAAGGTTAGTTTATACCATTTGTTATTAATATTCAATGATCAGAATCAGCACCCAACAACTGCCAACATGAAACAGTGACGGCCATTTTCTGTACATGTATAATACATAATATATCTTTACATATATATTGATTTGAGAGACAGAGAGAAACAGATATTGTCCCACTTATTGATGAGTTCACTGGTTGCTTCCACATATGCGCTGACCAGAGATGGAACCCACAACCTTGGAATAGCAAGATGATCCTGTAACCAGCTGAGCTACATTTGTGTATCTATATCCCTAAAGTATTTCTTCCATAGAAGGAAATTTAGAGAAAAATAACACTAATAGCCACCCACTAAAATATCATAAAATCAAGATCACAGCCAGGGACATTCACGGGTCCCTCACCACAGGCACCCTCCTCCCACCCCCCTCCAGTCCCCTGGGCATTCGGTACCGTCTGCCCACTTCTGAAGGCCCCGTGCCCAGCGCGTCCTGCCCAGGGCCTCTGTCGCCACTTCCCAGGTGCCCACTGGTGCCTCCTGAGAGACCCCAGGGTAGGACAGGCACTCATGAGCTATCCTGTCTCCCGTGGGAGAAAAACGCCAGTGTCAGGACAGTACTCTCCCAACTCAGGGTGGACACAGTCCCAGGCGTGAAGAGGGGCATGGGCCCTGAGGGGTTGGGGGCAGCGGGTGAGAGTCCTCTCTGCGCAGAAGCCTGCCCCTACGGAAGGAGGTGCAAGAGGATACCATGACTCACCAGTGCCTTCGCGGTCAACGGCTGGGTGGTCATCCTTCCAGTGCCCATGGTGACCGGGGGACGGGCAGACTGTGTGCAGAGGAGAAAGAGAAAGGCACAGTGAGAGACCAGGTCCAGGCCTGACCCACTATACAGACAGGACCGACACAATCACTAGAAAGCAGGCAGAGAGACACGCGTGCATGTTCCCTGGGAACACAGTCCGGCCACAAGCGCCTGCGCAGACGCGCTGACTACACTTCCCAGAATCCAACACGCCTCCGCCTCCACTCCGGCCACCGGTCGGAACGGGGCAGTCGGAACTGGAATTCCGGAAGCCCCCGGGGCACAGGGGTCTAGAAGGCGGGGTCTTGAGGGGGGTGGGTCCGGCGCACCTCGGGGAAGGGAACCCGGTCGAGAGGGGTTCTCAGGAGAGTGGGAGGAAGGCGACAGAGCAAGCTGGGGGCCTGGCTGGAGTGAGGTGGGCGAGGGACTGGGGCCAGGGAGCGGGGGAGATGGAAGGAGAGGTGCAGGGAGATAAGGATCGGGACGAGGAGCCGAGCGAGCTGGGGAGGGGGGAGGGGAAGGAGGGAAATCGCAGAAAAAGCGGAGCGTGGGTGGAGGAGGGAAAAGACGCTGTAGCCCCTCCGCTTACATCCGGCGTCCACCCAGAACTCCCGATAGTCTTGCTGACTTAGAGGAAATTTGTAAGACGTGCAGAGACGCAAGACAACGACTGATTGTAACCAGAAAAGAAGTACCGGCCCTTCCCGTTAAGTGCCAGCTCTTTTTCAGGGCATGTTACTGTTACAGAACCAAAGGGGCGGTTGCGCTGCCCGTCGCCCCAGTAGGCAAGCTCTAGAGGCAGAGGCTGGTGAGAAAGGAAAGAGGGTTTTCATTCAGATGCTCAAAGCCCAACTCCTCCCGAAAACCCAAATCCAGCCGCCCTTGACCAGAATGGAAGGCAACGCCCAGAACTCCAGCTCCCATTCAAAGTACCATCTTTTGGGAACCGCAGTGCCCCTTGAGCAGTCACCCGGGCAGCTCAGCTGGCTCCTGGTCACTGTCCAGTTTCAGGTTCCCTCCTAGAACCTGCAGGCCCCGACTTCAGCCAGGCCACTTCCAGGGCCTCGAGGCCCTGCCAAGTCACCAGGCAGTACGTTCATCAGAGTGGCGAAAGAAAGGCCCTTCCTTACCCTGGGTTTATATTACTTTCAGGTGTGGGAAGGTCTAAATGCTCAATTAACTCCCAAAATTCGTGCGTGCTGAGGAATTCTACCCACGAGCCAATCGCTTCTTTTCCCAGGCTAGACTGACAGGCCAGTTTTCCCCTCCAGCACCTAGTCCCGGCCCCCGTTCTGACCTCTACGGTCCACGTGTCCATCTTCCGTGGTCCCAGCCCCAATCAGCTGTCCGAAGGGGGTAGGAGGGCTTTTTCCCTATCCATTCATCTTGCTAGCATTGCGCCTGCCTACTCAGTACAATACTCCCTTCCTCCGGCTGTCCTCTTCCCTGGGGCAGGGTGAGAGAGGCAGGCCAGCTTCTCTGTCCAGCCCGACTGCTCATGACTCAGTTACCCGGACTGGCTTGATAGCTCTTGTCTTAATGGGAACTCCCATCTTGCACAACAGACATCTGGCTCCAGCGACAATGGCTGGTGGTCGGACTGACCTTTCCGCACCTGGGAACAGCCTGGCCCTTTATCTACCCTGTTGTCCTGACTCACATTCTTAAACCCCGAGGCAACAGTCCAGAAGAACAGGAGACTAACCCCTCCCTTATTCTCCTACGGATCTTGTGCTTTTTCTTTTAAAAAAAAAAATTATTTCTTTTTAGAGAGAGGGGAAGGGAGGAAGAGAAATATTAATGTGTGATTGCTTTTCATGCACCCGCTACTGGGGACCTGGCCCGCAGCCCAGGCATGTGCCCTGGTTGGGAATCGAAGCAGCGACCCCTTGGGTCCCAGGCCGGCACTCAATCCACTGAGCCACACCAGCCAGGGCCCACCACCTTTCTTGCTAGACTATACAGGAAGTCTTCCAACATTTTACTGATCTGAACCCAGGCTCCCCAGATGGCGCCCTAAATCAGCTCCAGACATAACGCCAAAAGCTCCAAAAATTGGAGGCAGGCCCTCAAACTAGCCAGAATGAGCTCGTTAATCTAGCTTTTAGGGTTTTCAACAACAGAGATGAAGAAAAAGTCCACCAGGAAAGACAGAGGCAGAAAGCTAAGGCCAAGTCCCATAACCAGGCCCACCAGCTACATGGCTCAGCATTAAAAGAGACCCAAGGTTTCCCCAGGCAAAATGGAAAAACCCTCCGGGGACCTGTTGTAAGTGTGGGAAACCCAGGCACTGGGCCAAGCGATGTCCACACCACTGAGCCCCTTTGCGGCCATGTCCGCTGTGCAAACTAGAGGGCCACTGGAAGTCCGGCTGCCCCGGGCCTCTCAAGTCAAGGGAGTACCGGTTATCCACTCTGATTGGACCTCTGGGTTTGAACTCCTGGACCTTCTGGGATTAGCGGCAGAAGACTGACCGTGCCCGGGAACAACACGGCCCCACTGTAATCAAAAGGATGGAACCTTGGGTAACTCTTATCAGAAGCGGGTAAGCCAATGTCTTTTATCATCAACACAAGCGCCACATACTCTGCTCTCCACGAATACTCTGGGCCAACAACCCATTCCTCCGTCTCAATAGTAGGAGTGGATGGTGTAGCCTCACAGCCATTAGCTACCCCTCTCCTACCCTGTTCACTAGCAGACCACTTATCTGCTCACTCATTCCTGGTCCTCCCATACTGCCCTACACCAGTTCTTGGAAGAGACATTCTCGCCAGGCTTAAGGCCCAAAATCTCATTCCTTCTCAACACTTGCAGGGTATTTTCCTTCTCTAACGGATGCACTCCTAGCCCACTCCCCCGCCACTCTGTTAATCCAGAGGTATGGAACACTGAAACCCCAGTCATTGCCAGCCACCGTGAGCCAGTCATTATGGAACAGGGGGCTGAGCTAGACTTTCCCCCCAAATGGAGAAAAACCCCATAGCTATTACTTGAGGGATAAGGGGGCCAGAGGCAGTCCATTGAGAGCTACGTGGCATATCTGAAGAACTTGGCCAGTGTTTCAGTAACATTAACAGTTGTGCCTGCACTCGGAGCTGAGGAGATGGGCATGACTCTAACCTGTGATTTGAAGCAGTCAGAGGGGCTTCCTGTGCCTGGGAGAGCAGCTTGCAGGCTGCTCCTGTGTCATGGGGACACGCCCGCCAGGACTCACAATGGCAGCCGAGAAAGGCAGAAGACACCAGACTACTGTAACCCAGTGTGGGGGGCGCTGGAAATGGGGTCACGGGGAAGAGCTGCACCAGGATTTACACCCAGGCACAGCAGCCATGCTGGAGCTTTTTACCATGTGGTTTGGGAGTGGGGAGGGGGCACTCGACCACATGGCTGAGAAAGCAGGAAAGCACGACGTGGCAGCTGTGTGGAGCGTTCTCTCGGCCACGTGGTTTGAAAGAATGCAGTGCTCCTGTGGGCCCGCCATGAGGAAGTGCCATGCGGTTTTGTATTGAGAACCGGAGCCTGGCCAAGCTATGGACTTCTATTCTCATTTCCTGAGATACAGTGCCCTTGACTGGCTTGGACTGGCAAGGGGAGGCAGGACTTTGTGTGTGTGTGTATTTGTGGGTATTTTAAAGGGACTTTGGGATTTAACAACATTCTGCCATTATTATGAACCTGTATAACTTTTGAATAAATAGTTCTTTTTTACCAAACCCTGGCTTTGAGAGCCACAGTTCTAATCAGCCTTGGGCAAAAAGAACCATAGAAAAACAAGACCCCCGGGGGCCGGGGTGGGGGCAGGATTCTGTAACAGGTATACACATAAGGGATCTGACCCCAAACCCAACCAAGTACCAATATGCAATACCCCTCGAAGCACTCCAAGGACTTAAAGCTACAGTTACTTGCCTCTTGCAGGTAGGACTTCCACAACCAACCAATTCCCCATGTAACACCCCAATTTTACCAGTAAAAAAATCTAATGGGACTTACCACGTAGTCCAAGACCTACGCGTCATTAACCTGGCTGTGATTTCTATGCATCCAGTAGGCCTGAACGGTACACTATCCTCTCCCTCATACCACCCTCCACCACTCACTACTCTGTCCTAGACTTCAAGGATGCCTTCTTTACCATCATCCCCTTCCATCCTGACTTCCAAGACCTATTTGCCGTCACCTGCACGAACCCAGACACACATCACTCCCAACGGTTAACCTGGACCATCCTCCCCCAAGGGTTCCAAGCCAGCACCTGCGTGTCTGCACAGGCACGAGCCTGTGACCCGCGCAGCATTGATCTCTCCCCCTCTTCTCTCCTGCAATATGGAGACGACCTCCTATGCAGCACATCCTTACCAGACTCAACAAAACACCGCTAAACTTGTAAATTTTCAAGGACAACCAGAATATCAAAAGTAGTAGGGACTGACCTAGAGTCCAAGAGGCTCAACTATCACAGACATTGGTCACCTACCTAGGTTTTACCTTAACACCGTCTGAGAAGGGAATGGCATCAGAGAGACGAACACTACTAGCCTCAATGCCAACCCCTACTACTAAGCCAGGCCTCCTCTCCTTCCCGGGCCGGGCTGGATACTTTAGGAACTGGACCCCAATCTTCAGCATTCTGGCCAAGCCATTACATGCGGCAATAAAAAGACCCCTACAGGAACCACTCCTGCTTGGGAAGCCCACTGAATGTCCCTTCCACGAGCAAGAGGTGGCTCTCACCAGAGCCCCTGCACTGGTCCTCTCTGACCTCAATAAACCCTTCATCCTGTACACAGACCAAATACAGGGCATTGCTCTAGGTCTCTTAGAACAGAAGTCAGGCTCAGACCTAAAGACCCTAACCTGTTCGTCCAGAGGAGAGCCCACGGCCCGACGGTGGCCCACGTGCCTCACACTGTTAGCTGCGGCAGCTGCCATCACTCTCAAGGCACAGAAGCTGACCTGCTCTCAACAATAACTGTATATTCTCCTCATGCCATTTCTGATCTAATATCCATCAGGCAGAAAAACTCCTCCACCCCGCCCGACTCCAGCAAACTTTCCTTACTCTACTGCAAGCCCCCCACATAACAGTCACGAGATGTACCACAGTCAACCCGGCCACTCCTCCCCTTGCCTAACCCCACTTGCCCACATCTCTGAAAACCCCTACCCAACCTGGACAACACCTGGTTCATTGATGGCAGCTCTTTTGTCACCAGTGGGAAAAGGCAGGATATGCAAAAGTTTCTCGCACCCAGGGCATGGAATCCAGAGCTCTCCCTCCAATACCTCATCCTGATGGGCTGAACTTACCACATTAATACGAGCCCTGGCACTCACACAAATAATATTTACACTGATTCCCACTATGCCTACCACATGCTACACTCATGTCAGGAGCCGACCAGCAGCCATCCCTTGACACAGTCGGGACGGATGAGATGCATCTGCACAGCAGAGGCAACTGTGGCTGGACTTCCTGTCTGTCTCTCCTTGCATGTCTGTTTTTGCGATTAGTAGGTGGGGGGATTTTTAGACACCTGCATTTCAGGCCCAGTGATCCGCAGAATTCCAATGAGGTTGTACAAAATGATTTCTTGGCCAGAGAACAAAGTCCCCCTTCATGAAGTAGCCCCTGGTTATCTAAAAGTTGATGGAGTCACAGCCCCTCCTCAACCTTGGACAAAAATATGTATCAAGTAGAATTAGATAAGAAAAGCAGGACATGAAAAGGCTCTATTCATACAGCTAGCTCTGTCTGACTAATGACTCTCTTGGTCAAAATAACCTTTGTTTAACATAACTTCATGCCATGCACCTGCTCCTTTAGTGTTATGAATCAATTTCTATAAAAATAAAGCTTAAAGCAAACTCTGCAAGTTTGGTCAGACCCACAGAGGCTGGCTGTTCTCCGGCATCCAACCGGGTGTCTGACTCTTCATTCGTCGCCTGCGCCGTCCATCCTTCGGGGACCCTGAACCCTGCCGAGGCGGGACCCCGGCACACTCACATGCAGCAATCTGGGCAGAGAGGTGTCTCATGACCTAGAGATCCCCCATCACAAATGCTGACCTGA